CTTTAAATCTAACTATGTTAAACGGATTTTGTATATACAAATAAAATATAAAAAATATAACAAATTGTATCGTAATTATAAAGAAGTAAAAGGAGAGCGGATTATTGTATAGTATTCAAATATTTATACCTATTAGCATCGCTCCAGAAAAGTCTTGTCAGATGAAAATAATTTAACGCCACTTATAACGGTGAGAGCTTTGTAAATGCAATCCGAAGTTACTGAAAGTAGGGCAGGTTTGTAGACTTTCATACTGTTACAAAATTTACATATATCTAGATCTAGACTGACTAAAGTCTAGAATTCTAGAATGGAATGTTTAATAGTTCTTCATTAAGCCTTTATAAAGTAAGTTTGAGCAAGTTTGAGTGTACATTTTTGTATCAATAACTAAATGTTATATTTTTTTGTACATATCTATAATTTTTGCCGTCATTATATAGATTAAAGATTAAAATATATTATATAAATTAAAGATTAAAATACATATATTCTTATTAGATACGAATTTTTCGTAAAACAATGAAAACAGTAGTGGAAGTTTCTTAGACATTAAGACCTAAATAATTACGTCAATTTATTTAAGCAGAAATTTATTGTACGCGTTGAAGTGTCTAGTATCATTTTCATATATTGATTTATTTATTGACATATGTACATTAATAACTTAATAATCGCCCTGGGCATGAAATATTATAAATTATAATAAAATCTAATACATTTCTAAGTTGTAAAGCATTTAATTCAATAATAATTAATGTCAAAACGATGGTAATGATTCTCGTTTATGTTTGTTTATTTAAAATTAATTGTATGTAATTTTATTGACCAGTTACCGCTTGTTAGCAATTATTAATGCAATTCGATGACATTTCAATTAACAAATTAAAGTGGACATATAAAGTTTAAAGAGCCATTAAGCATTATCTACGGCTTCACTCAAATATTATGTCAATACGTAATGACTATTATAATATAGGTTTATTACTTTTATGGTATAAAGTCATTGTTACTGATGTCTTAGAAGTATCAAATATAATTTGTAGAAATTGTGATCATTATTCTTATTATAGGCATTTTTTCGTGTACACCAAATCGACTGCAGATTTTCAGATATGTAAATAAAATAGTTTAGTTGCGAGGTCTTCATTATGTTACATGTTTTAATGTTTGTCTCTCAATATATTTTTTGGAAATAAAAAGTGTTAATAAATGACTAAAGAAATAAATGAATAAATACGTAATATACTTATTATATTTATATCCTTGACAACAGATAATGCCTTAGGCGATAGGTAATAGTTATATGAGTATATATGTACTTAAAAATAAAAATAATTTTATTAGTTTAATATGATTCTTAAGATATTAATTGCTATGTGACGTGTTAATGTGATTTAATGCAATTGTGTAATTGCAAATTAATCAAATTGACGCCATTAGCATTACTTTTTAAAACACTTATTCCTGATATATTTTTTGAGACATAAATATAACAAATACGACTATGATTATTATCAATAATCGACTTTATTGTTACTGTATTAGGTAGAAATTTCTTTACTGAACAAATTATATCATAGTTTTTTTATAAGAAAAAGTATTTTATAGTAGAATAAAACGGTTTGATTGAAATCTTAAGTACATATTAGGTTGAAGTACAGGCAGGTATATTTAAAAAATCCGACGATTAAAGGTAATATAGACAAAAATATATGTATATATGGTACTTTTGTGTATACATTGTACTTTTGTTAACGAGCTTTTTTTAATTTACAAGCGTCTATATTTAAATGCAAGTGTGATTCTTGTAAACGTATAAAAGCAAGTCGTTCAGCGTTCGGAACGTTTCCGAGATCAATCACTCTCAAAGTATAATTGCTTTTCAACTCTATCGAACAGCGATACGTTGTACTCGTATACCAATTGGAAATTATTCGCAAAACGTGCCAATGGAAAATATTTTCCCTTTAAAAGGAAAAAAAATGGTTAGTCTTTTATAACATGAATAGTACAAAATTGAATTTTTGTATTAAAAATAGCTTACAACGTCTTAGCTTTGATAAAAGGTAGATATTTATTTGAAGAACTGATGAATGTAGTGATTTTTTAATATTATTTATTCAACATTGTTTAATTTAATTAATGACAATCAAGTAAAAGACGACATCGTGTTAAGAAATGTCATACAATTAGATATTGACATTATGGCAAATGTTAATGTAAATAAATATGGTTATATTTATCATTTTCGTTTATTGATAATAATTTATCCCCTTATCTTCGGTTTTAATCATAAATTAGTAACTCATTTATTTGTATATATTCTCAGACGTAGTTAATTTCGTTCAGATATGAAGCTTTGGCATTTGAACTCGACAATATTTGAAATACAACCTACAGTAAGTTATTAAGCTTTAAAATGAATTTAAATTTGAAATAGATTGTTAATACAGCTTGTTATAAATGTTAACTTTGGTATGTTATGGTTATATAGTTTATAAGTTTCTAGTTTCGGCAGATATTTCAGTAATTAATAAATATTTTAACAAATTTCTATGTTAAATGAAACTCTTAAAACATGGTCATATAGAACTTATTGATCAAATTGAACAAATGAATACAATTGATCAAATATTGTTAACATTGTATACAATTAATACATTGATCATATTTATTAAACAGCATTTATCACATAACACATTGGTCAAATAGAATATGTTAAACATTAATGGTTAATTAATTAATTCAGATGGTCGTTAATTTTAAATAACTAACAAATATACGATAAAGCACAATGTTTTCAGTCGATTAAGATGAAATAGAATCTCAACTTAATAATAACATAGCCTTGAACATAATATTTATCATATAGTAAACTTATTGTCGCATGTTAAACTTCTAATAGGTCGGTTTACCAAACACATGTAGGTACAGTTGTGATATGTTTCACTTCGCGGGAGCCAAAATACTGTGATGTAACAATTCGTTGGATTACACGATGCAGTAAATTACTGTTATGGCATTTCACGCTCTAATTTTAACTCAGAAAAAAACATATACATGATTACCATATAAAAATAACGTCGGAATACGGAATGTGAGATTTTTATGAGATATTCATAAACTTAATTATATACATTACTAGCTTTCCGCCCGCAGCTTCGCCCGCTTGGAGTTCAGTTATATCGTGTTTCCAAGAGAACCTTACAAAAGTCTGGGATAAAAACTATCCTATGTTTTTTCTCAAGGTCTGTTTTTTCTTTTTTTTTCTTACTTTATCTCTGTACCAAATTTCATTAAAATCAGTTCAGTGGTTTAGGCGTGAAAGCGTAACAGACAGACAGACAGACAGAGTTACTTTCCCATTTATAATATTAGTAGGGATTATTAAAGTATGTAATAATATCTTCAAATAATATCAAATTTACTTCTTAAAACGATATAAGTACTATTTATTATTGGCTACTATATTTATATTAAATGTCAATCTATTGAAGATTTTATGTTTTTAAAAACCTCAAATGTAAAATTTCAGTGGTTATTGAACACTCACATGACTTAGTATTTATTTAAAAAGTATGAGGAAATAAAAACAAAATAAAACTTTATTTTTTATATAGTGTCAAGAACAATAACTATGTATATTCTTTAACCTGGTCTCATTAGATTTTTGTTACATATTAAAATTCCCCATTCAGGTACCAATTTTAAAGACTCTGTGGACAAAAATAGACCATGTTATTTCTGATTTACAATTACATAGAAATTATTTTGCCATTTTTTCGTTATGAACTAACATAAAATCTACCGCACTTATACATATATTAGAAGAATTTATATTTGTAAGCGTTACTCAAAGCGACCTTGATTAACACCGTTTGTGGGTGACCTTAAAATTACTCTAATTGATTAAATTATTAAATGATTGTATGACAATTGAATGCCTTTATATCAGAGATTACATACTCTAAAGAAAACGTCATGTATACATATATGTGTGTGTGTGTGTATATGTGCGTGTGCTTGTGTGCGTGCGTTATGCAGTAAGTGTATCAAGGACGAAGTAAAAGTTGCCTTCATTTAGGCTCACAATGTTATCCGGATATTACGTAATAATCAGCTTAAAAAGGAACTGTGACATTTTATTTTAATTGATATATGATATACATATAAAAAATTATTAAATACTACAAATAGTTTTTAATAAGTAACTTAATATCAAACCTTTTTTTGTTTTATTGTTCAATCAACAATATATATATATATATATATATATATATATATATATATATATTTTGTATAGAATTTATTGCTTTTTGCTGTAAAACAAAAATCTGCACAAAATATTACTCAAGATATTATGTTATACATCCTACGATACTTGAAGTTATAACTTGCATTGTCTGCATGACTTTCTCCAATGCTCTCAATATGAACGAGAGAAATTTTTTAATCATCAACCAGTTGTTTTGTGAAGGTGTGTGTCAGATCGCTGGTGAAGAATTATGACATTCAATCATTGTATTGATCGGTTTTTATGTTCTTTTTGCTGGCAATTTTAAGTTTTATGACGATTATATGTAGTAAAATTCATGGGCCATGTGTAACATATTTATAGTTTACGTAATGTATAATACTACTTATACATATTAGACCTTTGCAATATTCAAATCCAATTACGAGTTGAAAGTTCAATAAGACCTATTCTGACGTTCCAGAGATTAAAATGTTTGACAATTGCTTATTGTACATATTTCTTCTAAAAAAAAATGTTATGACATTAAAACTATCGTATTTTTGAGAGGAATTTCAATTTAAGCATATCAAATTTAGTTTCATAACAGTGCTCTTTAATGACTATATATTCATTAGGTTTTATAAGAACGAGAAAAATTAAAAATAATAAATGAAACAAAATTATATATCTTTGTAATACATTCGAATTTATCAATCGTGTTTTGTAATTTCACGATATTTATGAGTTATAAAACTATAATTTATTCGTTGTTTGTTTCCAGAAGCGCTTTAACTTTTTCCTGATACACGCGATGTTGTGCTTCCAATGCCCTTAAAGCACTCGATGGTCTCACTCCTCCAACGTTTACTAAGAAACTTATATGAACAGGGGCTACTTCAGAGTTATTTGGCTTTTCCTCCGGTTTTGTCCTAGTTCTTGCACTGGATTTTATTCTGGAACTGGCTTTAGGAGACTCCATACAGCTTGGTTCCGTGTTTCGTTTATCTTCCTCCTTGATAATGTTAACATCATTCTTATTTGATTTCTTTTCCATAAAGGATTTTTCTTTACGTTTCTTTTGAACGTCAGCAGATTTGGATTTGTATATTTTTTTCGTAGCTGATGATTTTTCTTGCTCGGTTCTGTTCACTAAATAAGACGTTTTATTTTCTTTTGGCTCCCTGCTTATTCTTTCTGGTGCTTCTCGCTGTTTTGAGGAAGTTAGTCTTTCAGCTCGTTTTTCTTTGTCCGTTTCTACTGACTTTTTGTAAATTCTGAGACGGTTTTCCATTCTGACTTTCTCTGAATATCTTTGAAGGCTTCTTGCTCGCTCTAGCCTTGGCTTAATATTTTCCATATCTGGTCCCAAGCCACCCAAATGTACATTTTGTATGGGAGGCACTGTCGTTCTTCTAGCGTGATGCTGTGCTTGCGAAACTTCTGATACGCTCTTAAGATTATCGATATTTGTATCCTCCGTAGATTTTCTTTCTATGTCCACATTTAATTGCAACTCGTCACCCATAAAGTCGTCAAAATATTGTTTAAGCTCCCTGTTCATAAGTTTTTCGTAATATATCTCATTATATGATTCTGTATTATAAAATTCACCCTCGCAATTGTTGTCTATCCCATTTTCAATACTTTCTCTTTCTGTGTCTCCAAATTCTGGTGATATAGATCTTATTTCATCCTCATTTTTATTTTGCACAGTTGAAAAATTTGACGAAAACTGTTTACGGAATGCCTCTAAGTATGAAGTCTTTTTATCTTTCTTAGAATATTTGTTCATTAAATAACTCCTCATCTGAGAATTTTTAGATTTATCATTATTTTCTTTGGATTTTCTAATATTTATTGGTTGATTTTTATTACCTTTCGGCACCTTTATGAGTATATCTTTTTCATAGAATGGAACAAGAATAGTGTCTACGTTCTCTCTTGACTTTTTAACTTTAGCTGACGAATTCTTTTTCTGTCCAATTTCCAAGCTATCTAGTGATATATCGCTACTTAAATCTGTTTCTTTGTTCATTTTATGTTTTAAAAGTCATAAACTAAGCTTGAAAATTGAGGCAGTGACGTTATAGAACATTACACTTCATAATTTGTGACGTGACAAATTTAAATATAAACATTATTTCAAATTAAAGGAGGTTGTATATTATTTCGAATGAATATTTAAATATATAAGAAATATATGTCATATGTATATATAATTTATGTATTTACACTTAAATCATGAAATTAATATGTGAGGTAAAGGTCATTTAAAACGTAAGATGATCGACTAGTCTAACTTCCGCGTTGTAATAATTTTAAATAGGTTAAACTCATTAATAATGCCCCGATATTTTATAGGTCAAAATATATATCATCAAATGAGGATTCAATAACAAAACTGTCGCATAAATTAACCTTTCATAATTAATAGATTTGCGAATTTTACAATCTATGACTAATAATTAGAATTTATGATATCAAATAATCTGGAAAATTCCTTAAATAAAAACGTATGACGTTTATTTTTATAATATTCTTTGAAAAAAACTTATATATTTCATTAGTCTGGGCTTCAGAGATTTTGCAGGAATGCATCCAGCAATCGGAGCGTGAAGTGGTAGGGGCGAGCGTGATCATGCATTCCTAACGCTATTCCTTTAACCTGGAACGCAGCCAAGAAATCTGCCGTCACAGCAAAATGTTGAATCTAGACTTCCTCATAATTCATGTATAAAATTAAAAAAAAATACACATATGAGACCTTCTTTATAACTCTTTTTTAACAACAAAAACAAAGCAAGGGAATGCACAAAATATGCATATGTATTGGTGTGAACTTCTTTGATTTAAGATTAATATTATTTAACAAAAATAAGGATATTTATGAGACGTTAATTACTTATCTCGTTAGGGTTCTGCTGAAAGACTTGTCGGACGTTTTTTGCAATATTTAATTGGGCCGCATGAAGTATTCAGACGGATTTATTCACAGATAAAACCTAATTGCATCTTTATCACGACAAGCGAATGGAAGATTATGTTGAGTTGTAATTATAGCTCGAGATATGTTGTCACCTTAGCGAGTTTTTGTAAGGAGATTCGAAGGCTTATTTGTATAAAATGTAGAAGATATTCATTGAAGTAAAACTATGATCGAAGAGAACACGTTGTGAAAGCAGTTTATTATATTTAATAAGTATTATTAGTACATTCACATCTCGTTTTCCCGTGATCACGGTTGCTGAAAACGGGAGTATGTAGTTTTTTACAAAAATAAACCACGCGTAGTAAAATCCAAATAATATTAGTTTCTTTTAAAAGTATTATATATTGATTACAGTTATTATCTTATATTCGAAAAAATATATCTAAAACATTAATAATAATGTTATACAAAAATTTAAACATCCTGAACAATTTTAATTGAATAGATAAACAATATAGTTTTAATTGGAATATATTTTTGTATTGATTTATTGGTTATTAAGCTACAAGGTGTTGAGGTCAATACAATGTGATATTTGATTTTAAAATAATAAAAAAAATTACATTTTACGATATTGTCTTTGTGCAAATGATGTTGCTATTTCCTCATTGCGGGAGTATTTTTTTTTATCCCCCAAAATATCGTCAAAATAAGTGGGCAATATCACATTTTTATCATGGAAGATAAGATTTTAAGATTTAATATAATTTATAGCAATAATAATATAAATTCATGATTGATCTTTAGGAAAAAATTGATTTCAAAATAGTAAACAGTTGAAATGTAATCATTATTCTTTCCTATTTAAAGTACATTTTCACCAAAAACTTATTTTATTCTTCATTATTATTTAATGAGGATATTTGAAAGGTATGAACAAAGTTTACACATTGTGTACGTTGTTAAATTGTAGACCATGTATGCTCAAAAAAATATATAAAAAATCAATAGTGCTATTATTTTTTTTATGTAAAAAGTGGCAAACTAGCAGACGGCCCACTTGATGGTCAGTAGTGACCGTCGCCCATAGACATCCGCAACATAGACGTTGCGGATGCGTTGCCAACCTTACTTGTGAAGGAAAAGGGAGGAGTGGGGATAAGGAAATACAAGGAAAGGTTGGGAACAGGGAAAGGGCAACCGGCTCTCTCACTCATCGGACGAAACGCAGTCATTACTGACTACTTCACGCCGATCCTTTGTGAGAGGGTGGTACTTCCCCGGTCGAGCCAGCCCATGTTCGAGCTGTAGTAACTAAACTACAGCTAGGCTCTACCACCTGGGAAAATATATCTGATAGAAATCAATCTGATTACATATATCAGATAGCATAAAAAAAACTAAACATTTGGTTATTAGTTATTACTAATAATCGCATTATGCACAAGCAAAGCTATAAGAAGCTGCTAGTGAAAATACAATAGATTGACCCAGAATAAAAATTAATATAATTTATATAAATATTTTTGTCATAAATCTTATTAATACTAAAAAATATTGCGGGGTCATACAAGACATTATTCACCTCATTAGCTGCATAAGGTTACAAGTTTGCCTCATCCAATTTAAATGATGAGCCGAAAAATTAACAATATCACTCTATATTCATCAATAACTATTGACATTTAACAAATTAATATATTTATAATATGGCAGAAATATTAAAATGTTAACAAGTTAAACTGCGATTAAAATTATGTATTAATGACGTTTGAATTAATTTTTTTTTTAAATTATATCGGCTGTTGAATTTGGATTTTTGTCTGAATAAATTTTGAGAGGATTTACAAAAAAATAAAGTCATGTGTCAATTAAACAGAAGTAATTTTTTTTTAAGTGTAAACAACTGCTACTTAAACTATAGACTTCTCCAAGTTTGTTGTTACTATGTAAAGGTTGTTAAATAAAATTGTTTGTGGAATGATTTTCATGCTTGGACAAGGTGATTTGAATTAGGATGTGTTTAGGCTTTAACGAAACATTTAGGTCAAGGTATATGAATTATGTTAGTAACACGACGCGAAAATACGTAGGAAATGTTTGTTTTTGAAAAACAATTAGCTTTTTGGCTTATTTACTACGATCTTAGAAAATAAGCTGTTACTTTTGCTACGACTTCTTTGTAACTATATATAAAAAATGTCGAGATTGCAACATATTTTAATTTAGAATATTCATTATTTTTATTATTTCGAAAGCGATTTAATTACGTTCATAGGTACTTTTATTACATATTACTTAAGAATAAATGTATATTCAGACACAATTATTATGCGTTCAAATTATAATGAACTGTATGTATAAACATTAAAATATAACAATAAATGTTAATTGGAATTGTTGTTTCATAACAGCCTAGTTCAGACGATATTTGAATAAATATTTTAACAAAATATGTATAATAATTTATTAAATTTATAACTTATTATCAAATAAATTTAACGAATGTCACCAAATATATGAAATATCAAATTTATTTTATAAGAATGCTAATTTTATTAAGTCAGAATCAAAATCGCATATATATATGTATATATACATTAAATATATATTTAATTATAAATCGCACTTGACCCACTTCATGCGTTCATTTAATATATAACAATATATATAACAATAGATTATACTCCTTGTTTATCAATCATTGCAATTTCAACTTAATCATAATAAAATAAAGTTTAAATTTGTTTATCCATATGATTGTAGGCACGATGCTTTAAATCGCCGTTCTTAAAGTAATGACACCGGCGATATTTCAGTCACGATTTCTAAAAGTGAATTGAGATGATATAATTTGTGTGTTTAAACTTATTCTTACAAGGTCGCATTCAATTTATATATATTTTGATTAATATTAAACAATATCGTTATCGTTAGTCAGTGGTGGCCTAGTGGTAAAAAGGCCCGCTTCTCATGCATGAGGTCGCGAGTTCGATCCTGGCAAGTACCAATGTGATTTTTCAAAGTCACATGTACTTTCTAAGAGTATTTAAACATTACTGATTAATGCATTCCCAAAGAGGGTTGATGTCAGGCAGGCGGCCGGTCGTAAAAACAATTAGCCAAAACTATTCACAACATGTAAGGCAAACCCTGGCTCTAGCTGGGAAATTGCCAGGTAGAAGAAGATCGTTATGAGATTTCATTTTAAATCAAGGTTGTAATTTCAATTAATCTCGAAATTCAATCGTCATATATAAGGAAGCTCAGTACAATCACTATCAAGTTACATATTTCACGAGCTGATGACACGATCTCAAATATTTACAACCTCAATAAATGCATTACAATTTCCTTATTTATATGAGAAATTATTACTCGATTATTGATTAAAATTTTTTGTTATTGACAGCGGATGGTGTTTACGTCATTAAAAATGATTTAAATTTAAATTATATTATATAAGTATGTATAGTTTTTATAAAATTATAAAGAATATAAACTAGATTTATTGTTTAACAGTTTAAGCATATAAATAAAGTTAGCTGACGTGTTATTTGATTATCATAGATTTAAATACAATGAAATTATAACTGGCATTGTAACAGCATAAGAAATATTAGGTATGGATTCACAGAAGAATTTTTCCTTCATTATCGATAATTTAATCTGGATAATTAGTTTATAAAAAGGAATTATTTTACCCAATTCTTAAGTTTCACATCGAAGCACAGATCACTAATAAATGAATACATGACATGTGCATCGTCTATAAATGTGTTGCCAGTGATGAATTATTAAAATTAATTTTAATTAGATCGTTTTAACGAAAACGGAATATAGATTGTTTTTTTTATCTAGATTAAAAATAGTAATTTAAATTAGTGCCAAAATATTAATTTCTGAATATTTGTAAAATTCATTGAATTAGTAGTCTTAATAGTCTTATTATAATGAAAGCATAAACTATTATCAATGTAATAATATATTTATTTTGTTTTACGAAACCTTTTTTGGTACTATAATATATACTTTAAGTCTAAGTTTACTTCTTTAAGTCTTAGAGTAGTTATTAATCGTTAGTTTTTGTTCATAAAACCTTTTGGACCTACGTTACCATAATGGGTATTAGAGATACCGTAGAAGATAAGTAAAATATAGTACACACACATACACATATACATATATATATGTACACTGTAAATAAATCAGGATCTTGGTATATAAGGAGGTAATGAGAGTGAAAAACTGCGTGGGATGAAAAAAAATGCAAATTTGTGATGGGATTATGACTTTTATGTCTTGAATTTATGTTTTTATAGTGTCAACGATATCCAATATCATTGGCATTGCATTAATACTTCTTGAGAGTTATAGTCAATAAAATTACATTCTTATGAGAATTATTTATACTGATAAGTATGGCGCCTCACGGACAAAATATGGTGTAATTTCTTACCTAGTCTTTCGAATTGTATTAATTATTCTAAAGATATAATAGAAATATATTCTGTTCAATTAGTTTTTATCGAAGACTTCATTTAAACAAAAAGTCATGAAAAACTCTGCTGAACTATTTAACTGAACTCTATGCCCTTTATATATATGAAATTTTATTTCTGTTTAAACGTGAAAAATTTATATGATTTATATTGTCGTAACACTACTTAAGCCTTAATTATATCTATATATAATACATATGCGTGTAACAATCAAATCTTTTATACCGACGAAACAAAAAAATAAAATAGTAAATTAATACCCGATAAATAATTGTCTCTCTATAATAGAAAAATATACGTACTCATAAGTATATCTATTGTAAATAAATATATAGAAAGTTACGGCTGTATTAATAATGACTTTCGCCTCTCGTTTTGGTAGACACTTAAAAAAAAAAAATTTTAATCACAAATATAATATACATGTATAATAACAGAGACTTTCATAGTTAATTTTAATGTTGATACTAAATAAGAATAAATTTAGATTACATTATACTTTAAAGGACGTAGCAAACTCAAGGTTTGTTAATTTGTATTTCATACTTCCTTACAAGTTTCGATCCATTACAAAATGTGCTTCCTCGCATTCAAGACATCTGATAAAACGTCCATTGTTCTCTTTACGGCTACTGTTACAATTGTTTTAATAGCAGATCTTATTAGAGTGGTACATAAAGAAGATTAATGCTTTTGACATATATAATATAGAAAGTATGCTTAAATGGTATTTTAAAGATTACTAACTAAAAAAAGTTTCTATATCTTTCAAGGACAAGTCGTTCTAAGTTTAAAAATATATAAATATAGCGTAAAAGTCAAAGATTCCTGAGAACGGGGAAGCAGATAAAAATGACGTGAAATTCGTTTAAAAATAAATCTATCTTCTTCAACTCTATCTATTTGGTTTTACCGCGAAGTCATTTTTATCTGTCTTTCTCCTTTCTCCGCAGATGTTCGAGAGCTGTCCAGGCAGAACAAAATAACGCAGCAGATTCTGGAGGCGTATATTCAAAAGAAGCTTGGTCTGGCGAGTACAAATGTTAGGGCGCCATCCATTTTCGACATACTACCAATGAAGAAGACCGAAGATCGACCGATTCGGGAGTCATCAGCCAACAGTAGCACCGACACATATGATCTCAATTACCAAGAACAATCTGACGTTCCTGAAAACCAGGATTATGTTGAAGACGACAATTTGCAAACTGTTGAAAGCGAACAAATAGATTCTATATATTCAGAAGGTATACTATCTATTGTATGTATTAAACCAAACTGGAACGTCCTTAGAAGGCATCCCGTACGTTCTTTTCAAATTTGGTTAGGTAGAGAGAGGAGCTTGGACAGTGGAGGTGAGCGTTTAACGCACGTTAGATACGAGCCCCTTAAACCTACACCTGGGTCGCAAGTCCCAGTCACTGTTGAAGTTCCTCTCCCTGCAACGCGATGGACTTCCAAGGTGAATCCATTGCATGCTAAGAAGTTTCGTCTCTCTTTCATCGAGTATAATAATTTTTCAGAACACATATTAGTCTCTTGTTAAGCAATACGCAATAAATTCGCGTTAATATATTTGGCTCAGATCTAAGTTTGTAATTCAAACTATAATTTTAGTTAGCAAACAACGTTCGCAAATTCATTTAACCTATTTAGTTTATTGCGTGTATGTTTGTCTGTTTGCAAGTGGAGTATGCAAAGACATGTGACAATACTGCGCAATGTTGCCGCGTTGAAAAACAGCTCATGTCACTAATTATTGTTGCTTAATAAGTTTTGTGTCAAGTTTTGATACTGCTTTGTGAGTTTTGTGGCTAGGTGTTATAAATTTACGATGTCAAGATGTAAAAATTACTATTAACTAAGCTTGAATTTTCATCTTACGTTGACATTAATTTTGAGGTAAAATTATAAGGAATTTCTTTTATAATACCAAAAACAATCCCGATTTCTTCAAGAACCGGTAATATATTTGTATTACTTAGTGGACCTTGACAAGGTTGTTGGTATTGAACCGGTTAAGTTTAAGAAAGTAATAAAATATATATATATTTATATGGATTTCTCTATATTATTATATTGATAAAACTGAATCGTTATACAATAAATTATAGACCCAATCGGTTTCCATTACTAATAATTCAAGTTTCAATAAAAAACTTCTTTAACATGTCGCAAACTACTAGAAAATGTAAAAAATAAATCTATTTTAATAAATTTTATAATTCATATATCGAAATAAAATAAGAGTTCTATCAGAGATTTTGGTGTTGTGGTTTATGATTATTCTATATCCTTAGTCCAAGTTTGCGTCTTCAGACTTTTTACGAACAGTTTATCGTTTCTCATTGTATAACCAATGTTAATACTATAATATATGAAGATTTACACTTAAACTGTTATCGCACCGTATGTAGTGTGTAGATGCCAACTTAGACTAAGTCCACTGATTAACTTTGTGATTCAAGATTAGGGTTCTGAGATAAAATCACGCAGTTTAGATGAGAAATATATGAGAGTTCATATTGCAGGTTCGTTGACGAATATAAGATACGAAATTGTTACTAAATAATTATTGCAATTTATATATATCACAATTGTCCCTTAAAATATTGTTCTTTTAATAGCCTTCTATTAAAAAGACGTAAAATATTTTTTAATCTATACCAAACCTGAAAAATATAAAGAATAGAAAAACTGAAATTAGTAACAAGTGTATTTTACTAAGATGATATCAAACATTTAATTCATAAATTATGATTTTTACAACCAAAACATTTATTATGGTCAAATGATTGTTAGGTAAACTTTTTGTTCAAATTAAAAACTCTTTTTTAAGCTATAATTAGCTTCGCATATAATTAAGTTTTAAATGACAAAAGGTTAATCAGAACATTATTAAATAATGTATTTACTTAGGATTTTATAGATCTCATTTATAGCCCAGAAACAACCATTTGAAAAACCGATAAAAAATATATTTTTATTTCGATTTTTACGTTATCGGAGTCGTAATTTTCTAATTTACATATACTTAATACCCTAAGCTTTTAAAGTAACGACAATTTTAAAAGTAAAAATTTAAAGTGGTATATATAAACAATTAATATAAACTTCTTTATTTAATAAGATCTAAGATTTTCGCGAGTATTCATTTAAATGAAACTAATATTTTTGGATTTATTACGCGATGTTATCTTGTCTGCCCGTAATCATGGTTGCTGTAAAGTAACCGAAACCTCGGGAGTTTATAGTTTATAATCAAAAATAAAAATCGCCTAGTAAATCCGAAAATATTAGTTTCATTCGTTACTTAATTTGTAAATCAATAAATAAATAGTGAATTAATAGGCATTTAAGTAACCTTGACCCAATAGCAATTTGTATAAATCTAGAAACACAATTTAGGTAAATGTCAAATACTTTATCATTTTATGCGTCTCATCTGCATTAAAAAATGTATTAGTAACATCTTTAATGGATCGATTTATTACTGTTTATATACATAAAAGGTTAATACAAGTAAATAATATTTAATAAGGTCACTAATAAGTATAAGACCAAATTAAATAGATCATTTTACTTTAGGTAATATATGTTTTATATAGCTTTTCCTTTTTTGTGTGATTTTTTTTACTGTAATTCTAGTTTTAACTTTTTTCTCTAATTTTATATATAGCATATTTTTCTTGTTTAAACTAGTTTAGATTGTGTATAATACATAAATCTAGATATTGGAAACATTACGTAATATTTTAAAATAAAGAAATATTTTGAATATAAATGCATATGTTAAACTTTTGATTAGTAATTTATTATAAAGCATAGAAAAAAGATTTTAGGTAATATAATATAAGATTAATTTATATGAAAATGCAAATAATATACGAAATAAAAAGCACGATGTCAAAGAAAAGTTATAGACATATTTATACATAAAAATCAGCTTACTATAAAGATTTACCTAAGTTTTCATCATAACATACCTTTTAAAGTGCACAGGTGAAGTTATTCCCAGATATAAATATATATGTACATATATATATATATTACGTAACAATAATAATAAATTAAATTCTATGAGATAATAAACTTTTATTAAATGATTTATAAATGCTATGTTATGGTACTCTTGATTCTTCAAGACTGCTGTCTGTGATACGACTTTCATCAATTAATCTTTTCTTCTATCCTGAGTTTTCATTGATTTCCCGACGGGATGATTCCCTCATAATGCCATGAAGAAACGCAAAAAGACTGTGAGTTTTGACCCATTTGAGAAACCTTTGGAAATATTCTCAAAGACCTTAGAAATGAAACAGTTTCTTTCTTCGAAAATGCATTATATTTTATAATTGGTTTACCTTTAAAATATAATTTTAATGCTTTTAAATGTGCTTATAACAGTTATTATATATAAACTAAATTTCATCTTCATAACTTGTGGGTTGAAACCAAAATAAATCGAAATGGCGAATGCTATTTTCGATCGAAATTATTCTAGTAAAGTTTATTTTAAAAATGTTTACATTCACTAAATAATAATGTCAAACGGTTTAATTTAATCTGTTTATCGTTAATCAACATGTTGTTGTCATTTAGGTTAATTATAATATAAGTTATTTATGGATTTCGATCGAGAATTTCTCTATTTTAGTATCTGATATTTATGAGAAGACAAAGTACAAAAAAATCTCATCTTCCATACACTGGTTCGTGACTCGACTTTTGATGCTTTCGACTATAAATTATTTGATAAGAATATGAATTTTTCTATATATAGAAAGATTGAAAAGAAACTAAATAGCAAATGCAAAGAATGTCTATGATACTAAATATAGACTATAAATTTGATATCTTTATTTGGATTCTATAACAAGATAGAATACAGTTAAATTATGAATAGTCTTCATCAAAAAAATGTTTATTAAGCTTTTCTTTAAAATTCTCATAAAATCATTTCTATCTTTCAGGTAGGAGTAAGAAATACGCTGGTCAGACATACGAAAACGAACTAGAACCGGGATATCGTAAGCATAACATTTTATTATTAAAACAATATTCTAGTCTTTTCTATTATATGCATATCTCATTAAAATAAAACACATATAATATGAGATAAAAATGTCATCGGAGATATAGTGTAATGTATAAAATATTTATATATAGAATAAAAATCGAATATCAATAAATAAAAATACAGTTGTAAGTTTTGTTTGCCATTAAAACTTAATTAAAGTAATTAAAGGCATCAAACTAATTAACCTTTTTGAAGATTACACGTGTGATATATATAAAAAATTTAATAAAAATAAAGCACTTTGACCCAATGAATCTTCTTAATTTATGATCCGCTATACAGGATGTTTAGAATCGAAATCACTTAATATTTAATCCATTAATTAGTGGAGCGTCACGGTTAAAGGTTATAATTAAAAATACTATTAAGGTTATTAAATATTATACAGATTTACGACACATCCGCTTATCTATTGGCTGATTTGTAAATTAAAATAATACTTAAGCTTGGTCTAATGCAATAGAATTATTAGGTTAATGAACACACTGTATTTGAGGAACTTAATTTTGTTTGTCTTGTCTGAAAAATTCCGCAGTTATAATGAGATCTAAGATTTTCGCGAGTTCTCATTTAAATGAAACTATTTTTTTTCACAGTTATAAATATTTTGATAGTTCTTAAGTGAAACCTTGAATTAATAATAATTAAGTACTATAAAATCACAATTATGTTAATTCAAATGTATGATTCCTGAAACATTAGAATTGGAAATATATATACATATCGATTTGCATAGGTTTTTCGCATATTTTTTATCAAATAATTTTAATATAAATGTCGTTTCCTTGGTATTTTATTTTAATTGGTTTTTGGTTGGTGATTTATAGATTTAATAACGATTTTTGTTCTTCATTCTAAATATATATTTATATAGTGTATTTAGTTGCAATATATTCAAATGAATTTATCCATATATAATAAGAAGTGTAAATAACTGCATTGATAATGAAAATACCAGTGAATGTATAAAGTTAAACGAAATGAACAAAACTGACTAGTTTGTAAAGTGACATTTGAACCGGCCAAATTGAACCAAGGCTGTGATTTTACATTTGATGTACCAAATACCGATGTATTACAATTTATATTCCAAGTGCCCAACATATAAAAATAGAAAGGCCCATATGAAATAAAAATTTATGTTTATCCGTAAAATTTACGATTTGATCAGACAGATATGTTGTTCATCTATTTATTTTCTTTTTAAAATTATATTCATATATAATAATAATTCAAATCACTATTATAATTTTTTTACATCAATACATCTTGTAAAGCTTTTATGAAAAAAATATTTAACTTGCTTTAGAACATTTAATGTGGCTTTGTAATTTCAGTCATACGTTGATGCAGACATCTTCATACATAGTTTTCTAAAAAATGTAAAATTTTCTTAAGTAATATTTATATAATAATTCTACTGAAATATACCATACGTACGTTTTATAACTAAAAGTTTAATCATCAAAAGTTGTTCGGTGTCTTTTAGATAGCGTGTAATGTGTTACTGGTTTTTATATCGGCTATGGCTTTAAAAGTGCCCGAGATAAAATGTTTAAAAACAAATAAAATGAAGCACAAAAGCCTAGACTTAACCTTGCCCTTTACATCCTATAGAACATTGCTCTCAATACGACGCTATCGAATTGTACAATCGTATACATAACTATTACTTTTATATTCATTTTTTTTAAACATGATCCAATTCTATTCTTACATAAAATTTAAATAAAACCTCTTTGGAAATATGTAAACATTATGAATGAAATAACAGTAGAGAAAGTTAAAAAAAATGAGATTAATTTTAATAGAATGAAATCATATGTACATTGACTGCATATACTGTCTAGCCAAGGTTGGAAGGGTTCATTCTATTGTGGATATGGCCTTGATGAGACTGGAACAGGTATAACTTGGACCACTTTATTAAAAGTCCAGGCAATTACAAACTAGACTAGGGTAGCACTTTCAAGGTTGATTCATGTGTTTTTTTTCTTAACATTTGAATCATCCGGATGTCGGTCTCTTCACGTCTTAAACGATCCTTATTCACGATATTAATATCAAACAAATGACAAAATTTATTATAATATGTACTAAATATAGAAAATTTGGTCTGTGAGAAAAAAAAGTCTTACAATCAGTGTAAAGAAAGGAAAATTTCCAAGCAAACATATGATATAAAATTAATTAATGAATTATTCTAAGACAATGCAATAACGAGGTATATTAGAAGAATTCTTATCATACCGGAAACATAAAGCCTTATGATATAAACACATGTGATCGATATCACATACTTAAAATATATAACAAAGTTATTTATATAGTGACCTTAAGAAATAATATTTTAAGGAATAGGTTAAGGTTGAGCTATTACTCATTAAAATGCAACAAGTAATAATATACCACGAAAATAATATATATTTTTTTGTTGATTTAATTTATTAAAAATAAAAAAGTATTAAGAATAAAATTTTAAATAAATTTTGTAAAAAGAAATAGGTATGTATAACACCAAAATAGGAGAATAAAAGTTCGTTTAAATATTATTAAATAAGTTTCTCTTCAGCTAGTTTTATTTTTATTTGTTGATAACTTTATTTCTTCGAATTTATCTATTATATATTAAAATTAACCTAAAAAGAACTAGTAAAATTTTAAGTTTTTAATCACTGAGGTTGATAACACGAACTCAGTTCATATTAAGTATTATGAGTTACCAACGAACTTATAAGTTTTTGAGATGAATTGTTTATAATAATAAAACGATCATCACATGAAAATTTTTTTATTGATTTTAATGACTTAAATCTTATTATTATTATTAAAACTTAAAGATATAGTTTTGTTTGTTAATGCAGAAACTTGAAACTATAGAAATGAAACTAATATTTTCGGATTTTACTTCGCTTTTTTATTTTTGATTATAAACTACATACTACGTTTCGGCTACTTTTCAGCAACCGTGATCACGGGCAGACGAGATGTAAGTGTTGAAACTATTGGTTTTTGTGTGAGCACGATAACTATTATAGTTTTTAACTCATATAAACTACACGTTTGAAGTATTTTCCAGTTGTACACACACACTCATACACACTTAAGACAAGGCAGACCCTGGCTGAAGCTGGGAAATTGCCAGGTAGAAGAAGACTCATACACGCTTAAGGTATTTTGGAGTTGGTATCCAGAATTCAACTCTAAAATCACCAAGTCAGTAACACTATGAGGCAAAATATTCGTTATGGAAATAAAAATCAAAAACGCCAAGTACAAAAAATTAGAAGTCATTACATAGTTTATTCCAAAATAGTTTAAATTTAAAATCACTTCGTGTATTTTCTTATATACCCAATTTTAAAATGTCATATTATTTTAAAACGTGCAATATTTTATGTTCTTATGAAACTAATAAAATAGTATGACGCTTTTAACAGTTTTCCGTGTTAATGCTTTGTGTGAGTCCTTTTTACCATAAAGGGTGTGGGATTATAAGTAAAATTTATATTCATTTGGGTACATTTTTACTCTGGCGTCAGTAATATAACTGACTTGTCTGGCCTTTAAAAAAATAAAGATTTATTTTATGCAATTGAATCAAAAGGTTTTTATATTTTACGTATTCAATTTTTCACTTAGTATGAGATTATTATAAATATAATTTCAATTGAATTTTCAATTATGTTTTATTATAGTTAATTTTTTTTTTTGATGACGTAGTGGAAACTCTTTTTATAGTTAATGTTAATTATTTATAGTTAATGAATTATTCTTACTTAATATAAGATATATGGAAAGAAAGTTTTTTATACGGAGGATGTAATTGTTGAAGAATGATTAAGCATTGACATATGGTAAGCGGACACACCATATGGGAAGCATTGCTTCTTCACCCAAAAAGTAAAAAAAAGTTATACATATGCATATATGAGATGAAACTTCTCAGCATTACATTGATTCAACGTGCGGGTGCTGAGTCCATCGCGTTGCAAGGAGAGGAGCTTCAACAGTGCCTGGGACTTGTGACCCAGGTGTAGGTTTAAGGGGTCCCTATCTAACGCGCGTTAAACGCTCACCTCCACTGTCCAAGCTCTTCTCCCTACCTAACCAAATTTGAAAAGAACCTACGAGGGCTGCCTTTAATATGTATATATAATATTCCGTAAAATATCTTTTCATAATACTTCAATTACAAACAACAAATTGAATTATGATGAATGTAAGCAATACTTCCAACATAGATAATTATGTGTACGATTCAAATATGATCCTTGCAAAGGTCAGTGATGCAACGCTTATTTGAATAGTTTGCGACATCTTCATCAGAACACGCTTGACCGCAAAGAATGTTGGTACGAAGGTTACGTAAAAGCTTTGCTTACTTTATCATTGTTAATGCTTAGTATAACAGCAGCTAGCGCCGCGCACGCGCGTTTGTAGCGCATTCTAAATAATTTATTTTATAAAATATATTATTTGATTTTCGTTTCGTTTCGTTTCTTCGTTGTCAGTGAGTAATGGGAACAAACGTGGTTTAATACATTTCAAATCGTTCTGTAAGTGTTACATGATTGTTGTACGGCTATTATATTGAGTTCTGGTGATTAATTCTTAATATATATCTTATATAAAGATGTCATTTAAAAATTACTGTAATACAAACCAAGTTGCGCTATTTCTAAATATCTTTTCTGTCAGGAACCTAACAAACCAGTCGCGTACCAAATGTTATTAAATAAATTGTATACTTGTTTCAAATTGACATTTTCCTGATATAAATTGTAATAAAATTGACTTAAAATTTACTCATAAAGAAAAAAATAACTGCCTTCAATATGATATACAATAAATGAATCATTGTTGAAACATTAATTGTAGTGCCTAAGAGGATTCTTCAAAGGCTTTCCTGATAAATATCATCAGCTTTATGGAAACCCATTGAGTAAATTATCAATATACAGATTCTTTATCGTCGCCTTTGTTGGAATATCATTTTTCATTGCACGATATAAAGTTATTGTTGAAACCTTTTAAACCAAGGTTTAAGGTTTTATATCTTTCTGAAATGTCTGTGTGAATAGTTTTACAATTACTGTATATTTTTTATTATTTTTTAAATATATATATGTGTGTGAACATTGAGCTATTTGTAATATTTCAATAACACGACCATTGCTGTGATTATAGTTGAGTAAACTAAACTTTGGTAAATAAATTCGATTTAATTTAACATGAATAAGTAACCAACATCATATATAAATCTCAAAGACTTTGTCTTAATAAGTTTTCTATTGTAATATATAATAATTAAATAAATGTTACAATTTAAAGGATGTTCCGCTTTAACCTCGTTCGGAGGTTACTATGTTAATATCAAGTAGGTGCTAACGAGTTATATAAATATTTGATTGTGACGTCATAAAACAGATAATACAATAAATTATTATAACAATATCGGCTTTAAAGATGAAAACCTTTGCTTTTTATTTTAGGTATACATGTGACGCATGATTGACGTGTTTCATAATGTTACCAATCTTATGTAGTAATAGTGTATGGAAAATGTCAATTTCCTTCGAAACCAATCCACGTATAACGTGTCTTGTGGAAATTAATGTTATATTATCTAGTTATTTTGTTGCATATTCATATTTTAATAAGTTATTAAGCTCGCGTCAATGTGTTAAGTTCGTTCATTATTTTGAAGTTCGTGAATATTTCTAACTATTACAGTCAATTATTAGGATAAGTTATTTGAAAAACATTTGCTCCTGTATTAAAGGTATATTTGTATTATTATTTAATTATATCACAGATTAAATAAAGTTATTTTTTTGGTATTAAAACGTAAAGCCAAAATGTTAAGAAATATTAAAATCGTATCAGTTTTAAAGAATTTCCAATCAGATATATTTTTATTAAATTGAAAAACCGACTGGTTTTTATATTTATCATATACAAGTATGATTCATTATCGGTATTTCCGGATAAATAACCTTCTTTAACAGATACTAATTAAATATATTTAATTTATATTAAAAAGAAAAAATATACATTGCGTATTAATTGAAGGAAGTAAGAATGAGGGATGTTTAAAAACCTTTTATTATGTATAAAAAAATACTGTTCTATTTGATGAACAGGTAATAAATTAACTTGAATATATGTATGTAACATTACCTGCGTTAAAGCAGATTATTTTTGGTTTTTCGTGTGATAAGTTATGATACAATAAAAACTTTTATTTCGATAAACGTGACTCGTTTTCGCTAATACATACTATTTTCATAGAACTTTGTTGTTTTAATTTTAAAGATTAAATAGAAAATAGTTTTCAATAAAATTCATTCGACAGCTTTAATAGAAAACAGATTGACATCTGTCGCAGCGTGAAACTTCAAAAGTTATAGCAAACTTTTTTAGTTATCGTGATTGATAGAAAGTATGAAAAATATTATTAAAATCCACTGTCATAATACAATACATTGAGGATACTATTTGAAGATTGAAATCGTATCCAGGCAACGTTGTGAAAAGATTTCGACTGTCCAAATTCTTAAGAGATGAAATCATTTTGTTCTGAACATCAGTTGTATTTGGTTGGGATATGAATCATTCAGGACATACTTTTATTTTGATTTATTCTAAGAAAAAAATATCTGTTTACATAAATCGTTATGATGTGTATAATAAGCATACATACAATTATTGTGTAAGATAGGCGTAGTGTTAAATAGTAAAAACAACATATCGGTTGTAAGAAAAATATTTACAAAATAAGCTTTTATTCTTAAGAATATACAAAAGTATTATTTATTTATATATAATATCTAGTACCGGCCGCCATATTTGAAAATTAAATGACGTTTGCTCCAGACACAATTTTTCATACGACCAAAATAAATGTCAAATATTTTTGTTTAACTTAGAGAATATTTAAGCTAAATTATTGTTATTTTATTATTATAACGTTAAAAAGGTTGTACTTTATGTTATAAACGTTTAAAAACGCCTTGAGACCTTTCATTTATTGATTCATATGATTTTTTCGATATGGACACATCCACTACAAGTGAAAGGATATTATTATGATTAATTTATGTTTTACAATCGTATTATTAAGTATAAAAATATATACGATCAAAGAATGGGTAGAAGGACTTATGATATCCATAAATATTTTACCGGGTATTCGGTAAATGTATAAGTAAATTGTCTTTTTTTTTAAATAGCGGGTTTTACCTTTAAATTTATGTTTTTTTTTATGAAGTCCAAATTCAATGTGGTATAAAACTGTAAAAACAAAATAATCTGTTACTAAAATGGAACTTAACATAATTCCCAACATTCTAAATCATAATTTATAACCCATTTGATGTAATTGAATTATAATATTTAATTACCTAACAATATATAGTAACTTATAAATAAAACAATAAAATAATATCAATCAGTTAATCACCAGAACTCAACTAAATACCTCGTTAGGAAACTACCTGATCGCCAAATAAGTATAAGAAATCCCAGTCATTTGAAGGCAAGATTAGTTCGCGGATAGTGTAGTGCATATTAGTGACCATGTTCCAAAGGCAGTATTTTACCGTGTTTATGCTCGTCATGAGCTGTATAGCTGACACCAAGACCGTCAACTACCAATCACCTCTAAGCGCGTTCGCTGGGAAGTCAGGTAATAACCAAAGAGTATGAACACCAAGAAGTTTGTACTTCGCAAAATAGCAATAATTAGCTCTAAGATTTTTGAGAGTTTTATTCATTTAAATGAAACTAATATTTTTCATTATACTACGCGACTTTATTTAGGTAAAAAACTACATACTCGTGACGTTTCGGCTACTTTTCAGCAATCGTGATCACGTCGGGAGCATATAGTTTTTTACGAAAATAAAGTCGCGTAGTATAATCCGAAAAATATTAGTTTCATTAAAATAAAATAGCAATACATTTCCTAGTTTTATTTGACTCACATTTCTATTTGGTTCTATTACATGAGGCAGAAAAAAGTTGCAAGTTGCAAAATAAGGCCGCTCAAGGCAGTGTTACCACATGCAACATTTGCATTTTAGAATTCATTTTTTTATCTCATATAAATCATCTATAAACTATATTTGTCAATTATACGTATTATTAATCATATTGATATTATTTTTATAGATCATTCATTAATTAACTGAAATTCTTAAAATAAATCGGTAGTTAAAAGATAAATCGGTATACGCAAGTCTTGTGAATTCAGCACTCAGTAAAGAACTAATTATTGGAAAAAAAGACGTAAATCTTTTTATCTATTTTTGCATATTTGAAATATACAAAGAAAAAAAGTTTGATTCCTTTTAAAATCGTGTTAGTGATAGACAAAAAATCTTACATCATCATATGAATCAATTCTAACCTTTGAAAAGGTTAAGGATGTTAAACTGACTTTTTATTAATAGAATTATAATATTGACTGGTTCCAAAATCAGTTTTTATAAATGTATAAAAATTAAAACTAAATTTTATGCAACTTTTTTTTATCGACATTTTGAATAGAATTACTGAAGGTGATAAATGGCAAAAGCTTTGCGGTATCTTTGTAACTAAAAGACATTGCTTGCAAGACATAATAGGACATAGATTTATCGATTTGTTATATATGTAATTATTAACATAAGAATCTAACGGTCTTAAAATGTCAAATGAAAAAAATGGCGTCTTGTTTTCAAGGTCAATGTGGAATCCATAAATTAAAAATCAAACCATAGACAACAGTTAATTTTAACCTGATAGATATAGAACCTGTTTGGTTTTTTCCTGGCAATCATAATAGTAATGTCGTGTGACCTTTGGTATTGTAGAAACTTTTTCTTGTAACCTCATCGTCCTAATTGTCCTCTATTATTTCGTGACTGATGTATGTACAGGATAAAGTCAAAATCGAATAGTTCGTTTTTTAATTCTGGGTTTTCTTTTATTGCGTTTCTGGCTCTCATTTTTATTAAATTTATTACCTATATAAAATATGCAATTTAAACTATTATTAGATAGATTATATCTCTAAAAACGGCGGGAATTGGAGTTAGATTAAAATAGATGCTGTAAATAATTCTCGATAGTTTTTAAATTACATCAGACTTACTTTTTTATACTTTTTTTTTCTTTTTAATAGTGTCTCGGCGCCAGTCTCTTATTATCTTATAGATGTCTCCATTTAAAATATACGAATAACTTATGTTAATAAAAATATCCAATTTTTTGCAAACGATTGCCAAAAATATTCCTAATAAATAAAGTTTCTATAGAAAAGCTATAAAACTGTCACATTATGATTATTTTAAACGCTTTCTCAGTGTTACGTATCTGTTTTATAAGAAAATAATGTTTGATATCTTTTATTATGATAAATAATACAATTATGTTCATTTAATTTAATTTTAATTTATTTTTCTTATTTTCTTCAGATTGTTCGAGTTGCAACGAAGACGAATTAGGCGTGACGAGATGGACCATGCCTTTACTCAAATCTGGTGACAAAAGATACTATCTGGGGATATTCTTTAAGGTAATATTAATTAATTTATATAAAAAATATATTTTAAACGATTCAATTATTATATATTATTCTATCAGTACCACATTTTTAAGATTTATTGCTTAGAGAACGTGTTTTAAAGTACATACCTAAATATGAAATAACGATTTGAATAAAAAATATACGTATTACATAAATAAATAAATTTATACATATAGTAATTTCATTATTCATTTATTTATTTATGTGCCATAAATGTTATGTCATGGTTACGGTACATAATTATTTGATACAAATTTATGTCGAATAAAATTTATAGTGTTGGAATTCAACCAATATTTTATATATAGATAATTCCTGATATTCACTAAAAAGCTTTTTACAATATAATTAATTTCTGAGGTTAATGACTGAATAAATATTCCACAGAAGAAAAAAAAAGCAGCCAGAAATATCGAAATCGTATAGTAATTGATTTTTTACAAATACGAATAAGTTGACAACATAAATAGACGCAGTAGTTTAGACAGCTATTAATATTAATAATAAAAATTTATATGTTAATTAAATAGCCAAAATATTATGGGACAGATCAAAATATTTCTCTGAAAAATAAGTAACATAACATATCATATATTATTGAAATCTCGTAAGACTCGATCTTAAAACAAGATATTTGGAATTTTTTAAATTAATTATTTCAAGAAGAACCACTATATATAAAATTTTATTAGTAATTCATATTTAAATAAAAATTACTATTTTAACTCGTTTATATTGACTTTAGATTATTCTTCTATCTTATTTTATCACAGACTTTCATCTTCCTACCTTGCTTTCGATGGTTCCATTACTCGGCAGAAAACGTAAATTACTGCTGACTATTTGAAACTCGTGGTTGGAAATGAAAATATAAACAATATACACTTGATTTGACACCGCAAATTTAATTTTATTAAATATGAAGACGATGATTAAGTATGACTAAAGCGTATCATGCTTCTAAAGAGAGAGGCTATAAAATAGAATCCAGAAAACATAGATTTCTGTTGACTAATCGAAACACCTTTTTGGAAATGAAAACATAAACCAAATATACGCAATTTGACTCCGAAAATTAAGCCTTATTATTACATATGAACAGTCAATTAAGTATGACTGAATTGTATCATGCTTATAAAGAGTTTTAGTTTATAAAGTAGGATCCAATGATGAGCAAGGTCGCTACCATTCATCCAAAACAATAAAACCTCAATTAAACACGTCACATCTTACGCAATGCACTCATCTCAGCAACTTTCACTTTATACAGCCACACCCGAATTAGTTGTTAATATGTAATTACAAATAAAGATTCGAAAGCTGTGGAATGCATTTTTTTTCTATGTGAATAAATATATGTATAAACGGATGTTGTTGCAAACAGGCTGTTACAAAAGGTAGCTCTTAGACTATAATAAGCGAAGATGATATTGCTACATTAGTCTAAATTCTAAACAGTTCCAAGGCTTTTCATATAACTCGATTTTGTAATGACGATTTATTAATGAAAAATATGTAAATAATATTCAATTGCATACAAAAGTAAGAGTATATAGAAAATATAGATTAATATAGAATTTCCAATATCTCAATAAATATTATCAATAAATGCGGTGACATCGTATCTTGTATTTCAGTTTCGGTGGAATTAGCTTTCCCGATTAAGCGGAAGTAATACGACGGTCTGCGGACAGACTGACCGACTGGTGACTAATATTATATATATATATATATATACATACATATATATATTTGCAAACCTCATAGCAATATGCTTCCATTTCAACTTCATCCAGTGATTGCTATAAAAACTTCTATATAGAAACATTGCATCTAAGTGTTCGCAATAAACAATATTGCAATACACACATGTATTCTCACTGCCAATTACAGAGTCAGATAGTTTGTGAAATGTATAAATAGTAATAAAATATTTATACAATAGAGGAATTGTTTGGGGAGAAGTCACGGCAAGTCATCGTTTTGGATTTATGATGTATTGAAAAGTAAATAGCTTGTCATTGTTTTTACGTCAGCTTTCTTGTCTGCGGTTAGAGATTTATAAACAATATCTAAAGGTCATTCTTCTTAATACGCCTTTATTAGCTTGGGTTGTATGAAGCTTAATTTCCACCGGTTTCTAGAAGTCTGAATAATTTTAAAGTTTCCATATCTATCAAGGATCGATCTTAATGCAATAATTTAATGTCAATTTTCCATTGTCCTCATTATAAAAGATAGTTTGATATTATTTATTGTATTTTAATAATTATGTTTCTATTCTTACACTGCAAGTTTTCAACTTAAGATAATCGCTACCATAGATTTGGTTCTCTCATTGAACTTATGCTACAGAATATAGAATTTATTAGTATTATGTAATTAAATAAAACAAGGAAAGTTTGTATATACAATTACATTAAATACTTCTGTTAATATTTGTGATTTATAAAATTTTTAAGTATGTATATATTTTGATGTTTGACACTGGGGCAGTTTAAAATAATTTAAAACGCTATACTAACTTCGTCATACCATAATAAGTTCTTCTCAAACTTATTTTTAATTCGCATTTTTGGGACAAAAACACTTCTGTTCTTTGATGTTTTTAGAAAGTACAGACAAATAACTATTATATTATTATATATAATTACATAGTTTGGGAACTGGGTAAACTGCTTTACATTGTCTCTGTAATATTGGCAATCATTTTTTTTACTATTATATAATATCATATTTAAAATAGTTAATGCCGTAAAGGATGGGATGTATGAGAAGCTTATGAACAAATTTATAAAGAGATCTAAGATTTTCGCGAGTTTTATTCATTTAAATGATACTAATATGTTTCGGATATACTATGCGACTTTATTTTTGATAAGAACTGCATACTCCAGACGTTTCGGATACGTTTCAACAACCGTGATCACGGGCAGACGAGATGTGATAATAAAGTCGCGTACTTAGTATATCTGAAAAATATGAGTTTCATTTAAATAAATTTATATATTTTTTTGGATTCATTATGAATAAAACAAATGTAGTTAGTAGTAGTTATAGACTTAAATATTTTGATGTTTCTTTCATATATTTATGTATATAAAACGAAACCGTATATAAAATATGAGTACACAATACATCAGTATCAAAGTGCTTAGTCCAAGTGTACATCGACAGACTTTAAAAGCCAATAGTTTCTCATTCATAAATCTCATTTATTATAGTACAAATGTAGGTTATTGAATGAAAAATGGTTACCACTTCGTACATGTTATAATAATGCAAAACTTGTAAAGTACAGAGCATAAATTCTATTGTTGTGGTTGTAATTACATAAATGATACAAAGTAAAACCTCTGGTGTACCACAACAATATAAAATAATAGTTGTGAATAATAAAATTCATTTGTTACATAGAACCTTTGTAGGTTTAATAACTATAAAATAAAACTTAAAAGCTATTTGGTAATCAGTAAAAATGATATAATTGTATTTTTTAAATGGAAAGATTTATGCATCCTTTCGTAAAGTTTGTAGTTCTTACGAAACGTGAACCTAAAATAATACCTCAATAATTACTCAGATCCGGAAATCGTGATATAGTAATAAGTCGCTTTTTATTACCATTTGTTGTTTTTGGAGTAATATAACTTAATTTAGAATAACACAACATGAATTATTTGTTGTTTTCACTTTAAAAAAAAGGTTTAACATCCTATTTTAATATACAATAAAAATTATATTATAAGTTATTAAAAACTTATTGACGCTATCCTAAAACGAACAGACTACAAACCAAAAATTAACTTTCAAACTAGTGAGTACACTTTCACTTATTACTTATTATTATATATATTATATAGTATAGTATTATGTGAATTAAATTTTTCACACTATAATTTTGACTAAAAAAAATCTTTCGCATTTAAAACTTACTTTAATATAGTCTGTGAAATTCAGACCAAATTTATTGTACTAAAAAGGTTCTATATTTCAATCAATTCAATCTTTCATTCAAGTCAATTAATCATATATTATACTAGACATATTTTGTATTTATATAACAAGGTCGAAAGGCTACCTCCACCTTGAATGCATCAATATCTTTGACAGTTGGTCTGTGTGCTTCAGACAAGAGAATGTACGCACATAGCATAACATTACAATCTTAAGCAGATCTTCATTATACAAGATATACAACTATCAAAACATTTATTAAACATAGTCAAGATAATAATCTATTTATATGTACGTGTAAAAACCAATTTTTTGCAGTCCAATTCCAAATAGGTCTTATTCATACTTCCGTCCTAATAATTCATTATCACAATTGTTTTATTTTAAAAGTGAAATGATACTTGACATTGCTTTAAGAACGTTTTAAATTCGCACAAGGTTAAGTTCGATAAGAAATTATATTATCAATATAGATTATATTAATTTAATATTATGTGTACGTTATTAAATATTCAATGACTAAATCAACGCATTCTCAATCAAGTATGTTAGTTGCTCATGACATGGCTACACATAACTCGATGAAATTCTAGACGCAATCAACTTGCAATAAGTCTAATAAGCGAACACCTACACTGTATCGTGTAGCGATTAACAGCATTTGTTACACGGTAATATAGCTTTTATGGCCTCGGTAGTAAATCATGTTATGGCTTCCATAATAATTATGTTACTCCCGCTACATTAGTCGCGGTTATTAGGCAGCCGATGAAAGGCGACCCACTTTAGTTGGTACGACGGGAGATTTTGTACTCGCTATTAAAATGCTTTCGAATACAGATAACACCTTAATATTGTCACGTAAGTTTGTAATGTAACAGGTTCACGTTGTTATTTTGGTAATAAATGATATCTTGGTTGAAGCTCCGGTTCAAAACAGTTGAATTATATAACAATGAGGATTTAAATCGTTCGTTATGAATTTAATTGTGGGAATTTAAAAGTGTGACACTATATTAAATTAAAGATAATCTTGTTATTAAAAATAATGTTTTTTATTTCCAGGCTAACTGGTTCAAAGCTCAACAATACTGCAGATTCCACGGCATGCATCTCGCCTCGATTTCATCACAAGAAGAGAATGACAGATTAGAAAAATATGTCCGTGAATCAGGTACGTTTTACATTTATATTAATAATCTGTGCAATTAAATTAAATACAGAAAAAAAGCTATAAAATACTGGCTTCCTTATATATTTTTATGTTAAAACAGTAATGTTATTTATGAATAAATGGTACAGAAACAAACACTAATATTTTTGGTATTAACTACGCGCTTATAACTATGTATATATATGCGAAAAATATTAGTTTTATTTAAATGAATACTTGCGAAAATCTTAGATCTCATTAAATGTCACAGGTTACGGCCGTGAACATTTCTGGACATCCGGTACCGATTTGGCTGAAGAAGGAAACTTCTTCTGGCTGGCTAACGGCAGACCTTTGACCTTCGTCAACTGGAATGCTGGAGAACCAAACAACTTCAGATACGAAAACGGTGAAGAGGAGAACTGTTTAGAACTATGGAACAGGGACGACAAGGGTTTGAAATGGAATGACTCACCATGCTCCTTCGAAACCTACTTCATCTGCGAAGTACGAACCGATTAACGGGGTCATTGACATTGCATTAGACACGTAAAATATTTAAAAACATTAATATCAATTCGTTAAGTACAAACTCATTGTATCCAAGGTCACAACGGAATAAGATTGAAACAGATTAAAAATATTTTGTTCGAAATCTGTCAAATGTAATGTCATTTAGTCGCCATTTTATGTAGTTGTGATATGACACAGTGTGCTAGAAATTCATATGACTTTTCTATTTTTATATGAAAAACGTTATTTAAAAATTTTGTATATTTTTATTGAAATTCAATAACAATTATGTGGTTCATTATTAAAAATTATTTATTTTATAATGGTGGTCGAAATTATATGTATATAAGTATACAATCATTGACAAAATAATTTGTAAGAAACGGTCACTGCCTAATGATCTTTTTATTTCTTAATCTGGACAAAGGTTTACGGACCGTCGTCCATAGTCAAACATAGTGGTAAATACAATAGTTACCTTAGCAATAAATGTAAAAATAGATTTAAGGGTCAAAAATAAAGTTTTAAAAAATCATATTTGTTTTCTTTGAACCGTATGTAAAGATTTATTGGAGAATGAGATTGAATCGAACTGAATTATGTAGGAAGTTAACAGTAAGTCCTTTAAAATGATGAATATTTCATGAAGAAATCGCTGTTGCTAGCTGCGCTTTTTAAAATGAATCCGAAACTAGGACACCAATATTTGTCCATAACAGCGTTTAAAGGCATTCGTAGTACTCTTAGTTTTTTCACAAACTAAACCTTAGTATCATATTTGGTTATACGATTATTAATTTTAATAATAAAATATATGCCATCTCAGCTAATTATGTATATAACTATATGTCATCTTCTTTATAAAATACCAAAGCTATTTTATTGACGTAAGCTTTTTTTTGTCTGAAATTGACCTTTATGTTTGAAGGGTGAAGACTCTCAACATTAGTAACCCTCGACCTATCTAATCTTTAGAAGTTAATCTAGATCACCTCGGATGCTGTTTTATGAGTTTTTTATATAAAGATACCTCATCTTTGTCTCGTCTTAAATGTTTTATTCGAAAATAAAATATTCTCAATTTTATATTAAAATAGCAATGAAAATAAATTAAATATCTATATAGAGATATTATTAATGGTAATCTAATAATAATCACATATATTTTTTACACTTTCACTAATTTTTTCCAATTTTATGATCATACTAACACCGCCAATATTTCATCTTAGTTATCACTGGAATGCTCATCGATAGATAACTTTAAAATTTAATATATATAACATCCAACATCGTCCTCTGCAAAATCAAGTATGTAATATAAATCCAGAGCGGTACAGACAGACACTCACATCTCGTCTGCCCGTGATCACGGTTGCTGTAAAGTAACCGAAACGTCGTTAGTATGTAGTTTATAATCAAAAATAAAAAACCCGAAGTACATCCGAAGAATATTAATAATTTAAATGAATACTCGCGAAAATCTTAGATCTCATTATATATATGTATATTTGATTATCCTTAATTTTAATAATAAATATCTGGGAAAAGTAATATTTAGCAGACGGTGATCTTTATTAGGTTGTTAGTCGTTTTTAAACCTTGTTAGTGTCGGTCGCCGCTACTCGTTACTCAATTCAGCGATGATAATCGAATTCTGTTAAACCTGGAGTGAAAATGTCTGTAAAAACTATGATATTATTATAATATTATTATGAATAATAATAATTTTGGATATAAAATATTGTTCAATCATATGAAATATTATCCATTTCTTGTACAGATTACAAAAATATATACAAAATTTAAAGGTATGTACTTATTTCAAAGTAATATTTTTTAGTCTTTAACTGATATATAACATAAGGATTATGTAATATCTTTTAAAAAATATAAATCATAGAATAGAGAAGAAGTCTTTGCTCAGCAGTGGGCTCTGATAGGTTGATGACGAAATCATAGAATATAGATAGATTAATATTTCATCAAACAATCGAATTTCTATATTTAATATATTCATATGTATTTAGTAACATTTTATTCGTTCACGGCACAGTTCTACTTGTGTATAAACATCACAATCAAAATGACGCAGTAACTGTGTTCCCGATTCAGAACTTTACGAACTGAAATTAAATTTTTCACTTGTTTCTTTTATTTGCTAACAAAACAATGATTTGTATGAAACGTATTCGCCCTACTTATTGAAGGGCTAGAATTTTTTATTGTTTCGAATTACGTGTTATTTTCGTTTTTATATTCTACATAATTAAATCGTATGGATTAAAGTAACGTCATGTTTACATTAATGAAATACAAGTTGAAATGTAACCTCTTTGTAACGTGCCAACGTGTAGCTTTGAGTGCAGAATGAGTAACATATAACCAACTCATACCTCATACCTTCTCAACTCTTTGCAAGTCAACGCAAGCTTTCAGTGCACTCCATTGTTGTATGACCTAGTATCAAACGCGGGGTGAAAGGGACATCATATCCTGAACGTGAGTATCCTTTGCCAACAATGGAAATGAAAAAGTGTTTTTTTTTATATCGTGTGTTGGTTTTAACAAATGCATAATATTTTTCACAACCCTATACATATAATATATAATTTTGTGGCAACCCTATCTCAACTAGCTTTTTTGACGTAAATTTTTATAGAAAAACTTAACCGTTTAAAATTGTATCTTGTTTTACTTTATAAGGAACATGATGCACCATATTTGTATGTAAATAAAAAAAGTAGCAGTGTCGGCTAAGAGCAAAGACATTCATAGATATTTCATTCCATATATTCGAGCAATATAGTTATTTTTAATTTTTGTCTGAAATATTTTCCTATTCAAAATACAACATATTTTAGTAAAATTTCAGGCTAATTAATAAGGTGAATTGTGTTCGATATTACAAGGTAATATAGATATTCGATTAAATTCGTTTCCATTTACTCCAACAGAATTGAAACTTGGCCCAACATGTAAGTCAGCATTTAAATTAAATCGTCTGGAGTGTGCAAAATTGCCAATTCTAAAATCTGAAATGCACTCCATCGTATATAATATCAATTTTTGAAATCATTCTTGCAGATCGATTATTAATTCTTTTTATTCGCTTTCATTAAAGAAACTCTTTGTCTTTATTCATAATCATCACAAAAGATGAAACCTTTATTTAAAATTACAGTTTTTTATCCATTAATTCAATACAATTCGTTATAAAGAGGGTTTCTTTTCAACAATTCTATGGTGAGTCGAATAAAATATACCAAAATCCATATTTTCGTGGTGTATTCCGCGTCGTTTATTAAATTCGTCGGCTCTAGATACGATATCTCGTTACTGTTTGAATTTAAACATCAATATTATAAAGTAGGATATATACAGGCGTTTCATTAAAGATAGACAGACACTTTGGCAGTTTGTTACAAACTCTATGTATGTTTATGTCACAAAATAATTTTACGAGCATTTCAAAAATTTCAATTTTAGATTCATATTATTGTGAATCAGGCTTATAACAGAAAAATAATCTAAAGGATTATAGGGAGCAATAAAATGTAATCTTTGAAAACGTTATCCTTTAATATTGGCTGAGGTCATTGACATTTGGGGTAGCTTAGGAAATGTTAGAGGAATATTTGGTATATTATTGGTACCAAAATTTTATTGGAATCTATTTGAAATTTTATGTTTAAAATATTGAAAATATATATGATGAAACTTATAATTTTTAAATCATTTATTATATTATAAGGACAGTAATCTTTTGTAAGAGGATTTCATCGTAAGCGGTCATGTTACTAGTTAAGAGTGAGTAAATTTATAAAAGCAATTTGCCTTCATTGCATTATAGCCTCTATTAATATAGACATAAGAGTTATAATATTTATAAACATTATCCGTTTAAAATGCAATGCGTTGTGTTCCGGGAAGCATTGTGCTGTAGAAGCCCTTTCATTAAGCCATACTTAAAGGATATGCAAAAATATTTTAAGATCTCTCTATTCAAACATAAATAATCATGCTTACGTCTTAACGAATATGAAATTTCTATATATTTCTGTATATTTGTAACCAAAATATAAGCAAAAGATTCAGATACAATTTTAGAAATGGAGCAAATTTGTTATTTAAATATCGGCCTGGATTTACGCGACGTATTTTTTTGTTATGTTCATCGATACTAGAGGAAAATCTAGTTAAACATAATTAAATTACTTAGTCGCTAGTGCCTGCTATGTTCTTTATAAAACCGTTATCCTTCAATGAGCTACATACATTCTATTTTTATTTAATTTCTGAACATCTGTGAGTAGCAAAATTAGAAATAAATTTTGAAGTAACTAAATATTAAATTTTTCCATTTATAATAATATTATTTTCTTCAAATATATTTCAATATGACAAGCTCTATAACATTTTTCAGTCGATTTTGATGCCTTCAATTTAAACAAACGTCGTTTAAAGTATATTTCCTTGAGGCTCCCTTTATAGAAAAAAAAAATAATTTAACATACCTAAGCATATTAAAGGAATTTTGAGAGCTTAATAAAGGAATTATGAGAGCTTTCTTATTAATATTATCAAATATTAATAAGAAAGCGTGGTTCGTTTAAAGAAAATATAATTCAATTTAATCATTGGAATTTAAGTAACAATATTTGAGAATAATAACTATAAATTTTAATGTCCTCATTCGTGTCCGAAATACAACTAAAATACTTTAATTTATGTAATTAACGCCTGTTGAAAAGTAATACCAAAATTAATTTCTTTCGGTCACGATAACGCATAAAGGCTGAAGAACAGAAGAGAAAAACGCAAGTTACATATATTATATATTCGCTAATGAAAGTTATTGCTTCTGACATGTTAAACTTAACCATCGACTGAAATGCGACATGCGATAGATACGTAAAATTATTGTATCATATGAATAACTAAAAAATGGTTTCTATACAAATCAGCGATCATTTAATCCTTATTAGCACTTCGAAAATGTTTTATTTGAATATGCATTTATATTTCATTCATTTGAAAAAAAATTATCAAAGAAATTAACGTTTCAACGTAAATTAAAACACGTATAATGAAACGATTCCCGTATTGAACTTCCCATGTTGTATTAAATATTTATGTTACCCGCTCGAGTTAGCGCCGGGGAAGCGATGACTGTATTAAAACAGATTACTTCTACCAGAATACTCGGGTGAATGGTGAATTATGCCAGATATTATTATTATAGTGGATAAGGTTAAATTAGGTTACTCATCAGGTAAAGAATTAGGTCTATAAATATATGTAAGTTATAAGTTGCTTTGACATAATTAGTATTGATGAAAATTGTAATTTTAGTCTTGAATGTATAATGGAAAATTATACATACATATATATGTATAATATCTTTTATACAAATCCGTGTGTCCATAACCGTTACTGGAACGTTTGTCACGAGCAATAAGCTGAGTACTTCGTATTGTGGTTTTGTGTATTGTCTGTGCATTATGCATTGCTAACCTACTTTATATTTGAGCATAGTTGTAAGAACTACTTCTTTTAAACTACCTTCTTATAAACTACTTTTAATATTATGTATGCAAGGGTATTAAATATTCGAAACTATTGATGTATTCCTTTGTAATGAAGTAACCAATATTCCAAAGTGATTTTGGCCCTGTGCCACATCAATCATTGCTCTGCTTTTTAGTTTTTCCAGTTAAGTTCAATTCAATGACTGGCTTTACTTAGATATAAAGAAAATTTTAAAATAATTCATAATAATCGATAAATTATAATTAGTTTCAATCAAATATTTCTTGTACAGTCTTCATTTGTTTTTAATTTAAATACGAGTACGTAGAAATGAAAAGAAATTTAATTATAATTATTATATACTTTTTCGATGTATTTATTTGTTAATATATAATGTATGATCTAAACCAACATTTCGTAAATCTCACAGCGTTACTTGTACCGACTAATATCGATCAACTAAATGTTGACCTATGACCTTTTCCTCAAGCGATTGTAATTTCTTGTCCCCCGTCCCGTATCTTTCGTGTTGTTCCGATGCTCTACATCTGTCGTTTCTATTTATAACTTGTCTCTTTAATATACTATATAATATTATATCGTAACACCTGAAGCGAAACTTCAAAATGTTTCTACCTAAGTATATACTGCTCGTTTAACCTCAACCTTTCGTCACCCTAAAGACATTGTCATTTTGAAATTCAAAGTCATAATATAATCAGGATGTATAAGTAATATAGAGGTCGGCGAATATAAAGGTTAACATCGTCCGCCCCCTGACCTTTCAGAGGCGGCCTGGTAATCCTCGGCGCGACATTCCTGAAAGCGGCTCATTAATACACCTGTGAATGTGAACGGGTGACGCGCACTACTGCAGGCGCGGTGGTTGAAAACCATCTCTGCGCATGTGCGGCCGCCATTAAAAAATGAATTCCATTTTCCCGCACTGTATTCCGCACGCTCCGTGTGGACGAGTCGCGAGCTATTTTAACGTTGAGAGGCGACGTGTTTTCGGGTGTGGTCGTGACTTGGTGCGGGGGGCCGATGTGAGTGAGGAATGCGCCCCACGAGGCTCGGGGTTCGTTTAGTGCGGCTCTGCTAGCGGCCGGCATGGCGCCACGCGCCGCCCGCGCCCGCGCCCCAACACTTCAAACATGAGTGATCTGCAGGCCACCTTCGAGTTCTCGGTGGAACTTTACAAGTTCTACAATGTCGATCTCTTCCAGCGAGGGTAAATAACGCATGACTGTTATAGAATGGCTGATAAGAGATAAGGGCGAAGCTATTATTTTTAGCCAGCCGGGTGCTTTCGCGTTCGGTTGTTAGCGTAAATCAGAATTTATTAATTAGTGTGTTCCATCTAAATAAAATTATGACATATGAATGATCTTTACAAAATTCTTTATACATCTTGAGCATTAAATTATTCAGTGGAGTTATTTATTACGTTTGATACACTTTAATTATCATATTTTTTGTTTCAACCGAGGTCTTGTCGTTTGAATATCTAATATAAATTCTAGATTTAGACATCTTGAGCCACTGATAATGACGGTATTTGAGTTAGTTACATAATAAAGAATAACTATAACATTCATAATAATTCCACAGACTATTATAACTAAATTACCATATTGCGACGTAGAAACAAGAAAAAAATTGTTCTGAAATATTTCATACTTTGCTACTTAAAATAGACAAGTGAATTTGGCTCCCTAAATATTCATTTAATAGAAAATTATTAAATAATCGGTTCATTAATTGAATTTGTCGCCAAGAAAGCGGATACCGTGAAAAGCTTAAGTCAATTTTAGTCGGAAACCTACATTTATATTAGGATGAAGTTAAGGGTTTAAAAGTATATTTTATTTGTATTTAGAAGATGTTATAGTTAGGCGTTACATAGAAGAAGGTTTTAAAGGTGTATATATAAAGCAACAATCAATAAAATGTCTCCCACATATTTTATTGGAACTATGAAATACGTTAACAATAAGTTATAATATTTATCGTACTTAAAATTGAAGTTTGTTAATAATTCACGAATTTCTATTTTGATAAAAATCTTTTAACTTCATTATTCAGTATGTTTAATTATTTTTTTTAAATAACTTCGCGTTACAAAAACAGCTAAATTATCTAAATCCCTTAGATATTAAAATAAAGATAAAAATATTTTTCCATATATTAAATGACAATAACTATTTTTGATTATAAGAATAGAAGAAATTGGATAACACCCATGATTTAAGTAGATTTACTTGCAGATATGAATAATTCAGGACTGTGGGGTTTTCCGATGTCAGTTGATACTCCTCAGGGCAAAATATTATTATGTTTTCGACAGTACATAAAAAGAATGAGGTGTGGGGAAAATAATGGGTTTTTAGTTAGTCTATTTATATAAAGGTAGCAGTAATTTATGAATGATAAATATCATGTCCGCATTTGAAATAAATTGATTCATAATTGGTGATTATAAAATAGTTGTTATTTTATGTTATCACAAATTAATATTGATGTCAACAATTGTAACTGTCGATTGTGATCAATGAAGAAATGCTATAACAACGTTTAACAAGGACGAAACATGATAAGCAAAATAATATTAGACCATATCTTAAAACCATAAAAATTACTCTACATTCAGATTGGAATCGGAATATCCGACTTATAACTTTAAACGAGTTAAATTTATTAGTCACCAGAAGACATTTTTATATATTGCTATTAATATCCAAATAAAAAACGAATATTTCAAAGCAATATATTATTATAGAAAATGTAAAGATGCAGTTATGATTTCAAATAGAGTGAAGTTAATATTAATTAAATGCTGGTCAAATATAACCTATTTTTAAGCTTTCTCACCGCTGCTTAAACAAATAATTACATTGACGAAAACTACAATCTATTAAGGTATTTACATTTTCTATGAGCTCATACATATCATTTTATTTGTCAAATGAATAGCTCCCTCACTTGTCCCCTTATTGGAAACATTTCCGTATCCTGTTTAACAAATTAGACAGATTGGGATCCGCTGTTCTTAATTGGTAGCCGCCCAATATTGATTACCGCGACCCTGACATAATCGAAAATGTTTCAGACAAATAGTAATATTAAAAAGTGAAAGTTTATTTGTTTTGTAATCTGATCTATAGGCTGGCTGGATTGTATTTGATGATTACGAATATAGAAATGGTTTGGAGACACAAAAAAGTCTTTTACAAATAAATTTAGACATACCATATAAGAAGTGGAATACTTAATCAATTATAATTCATTTACGCTACACTGCGATACAGTCATTTAATTAATGAATTAATTCATTTTATATGAATTTTCATATTTAATATTAAAAAAAAAATGTTCTGAGATAAATGAATGATATGAAATAGTGATAAAGCTGACATCACTCCGCTAATTACTCAATCTGTTAGTCAACAGGGTGTCTCCGAAATTGGAAAAGCTTTTAGTTAAATATCCGTATGATGTACGAGTGTATGAAGTCGGATATAATATAAAATGGATTTAATTAATGTGAGAGTACTTATGTGATAAAGAAAGACATTTAGAGGATAATATTGTTCTTAAGGCGTTATTATCACAACATGTTAGCTAATCTGATGCTGTTGACTGCTGACCTCGGGGTCAAATGTCATTAAGTGCAGTAAACAAGGATCTACCCTGTTTGCGATTTATTGGTGCATGGGTCCATTAACCCCATTACTGATATGAAGTATAAAAGAGATTCTTACGTCATTTTATTTATTCTATAAATAGATTTCCTTTCTAATGACTTTTTTTGGGATTAAAATTTTATATATTCGTGTTTATTGGCGTAATTCTTTTAAATAAAGTTCTTAAACCCGAGTATTTAACGTGTAAATTTCGGTGAATACGATATTTAAAGGAATGTTAAACGCAACTTAATTTGTGACTTAAGTTGTAACTGAAGTTTGAAATAGATCCATTGCATCCATTATTAAGTAGTCATAATCAACATATAGGTTAATAAAATGAGTAATGACGTCTGTTAAAATTGTCTTTTAATAAGTACGCATACGTTAAAAGAATACTTAAATTGTAATTAAAAGTTAAACGTCTACTTTCAATGTAAACGTATTATGGGTGGTACTAAGCCATAAAATATTCTATAAAGCTGTCAGCAACTTTAACAAAACATAGGTCAGGTATGGCAATACTAACTTCAATAAATAATATTAAACTTTACAACTAATATTAATCTATTTGTAAAGCTAACTGTAACAGAACGTTCAACTCATAGTTAGTTAATAACTTTTCTTTAGTAATATAAAATAAATCGCAATGAAAATGTACTTTGTAACAAGTGAAATGTAATTGGAAACTTTAAGCCAAGTAATGAGAGTGAATTATTAAGTAAAGTTATTAAACATTCACTTATTCGTTCATTCGTTCATTCGTTCACGATTCTTATGAATGCTGATGATTTCTATACTTCTTCTAATTTCTTTAAATCAATCAGCATATCTAGTATATATATGTCAGAATTCAGAAATGTCATTATTTGATCTGTCAAATATGTAACAAAGTCAATCGATGATTTAGGAAAAACATTATTAAAACATAGGTGGGTATAAAAGCCTGTAATTAAAATATTTATATTGAGTGAACTATCTTATATGCTTTGACAGTTTAACTTTATAGTTTAAGTATAGCTATATAAAAGTTTATATAGAAAATACGTTGTGCAAGTTATTATCGTCAGTTCTGAAATGTAAATCTCAGATTAAGCGGTTTACAATCTGTAGCAAACATATTATTATCTATATTGTACTAAGAACGAGTCTTGTAACAAAACAATACATTTGAAGCTTATATTATACTTTTGCGCATACATACTACCATAATACTATACTGTATAAAGTATACTGTTTATAAATGAATAACTTTTAACTCTCAGTTTGGAGTATGCAAACTTGTGTTAAGATTATTTAACTTTAAGTTTTCTAATTACAGCTCTATGAAACTTTTGCTTTGCCGAATGAATTTATTATATATTTTAAGGAATGTTTAATATATTATATACATTATGAATGAAAAAAACTTCTTATATTGATACACGTTAATAATAAAAGGCGGCCAATCTCTCAGTCACCTCTTTAGTAGGTTGCGATGCCAACGAATTGTTGTATCGAAATCCGCATTTAATACGAGCCAAAAGATTTACAAGCTTTTTTAAATAACTGTTTGACAGGGTTTAATAATAACGCTATTACTAGCTACTACTGCGATATTTTTTATGATTTTGTATATAATAAATTTAATAAATTAATTTTATTTTTCTGTAACAAAATATCTAATAGTTAGATTTTATTTTACGTTATCAGGGTCATTGTTTAATCCTTCTATAAAGAAGTATAGTAATGGCAATGTGCCCAGCAAGATTTATATAAAATTTATTTTAATTAAAATACCGGGTATTTTTCGGTGATAGACATTATATAATTATTACAATAGTAGCTTAATGAAAAATACTTAAAGCAGTAAAAGTAGAAGCTTTCTCTAAAGTATCTACTTAATTATAAAAAGTTATATATTTAAAGTAATGCGTTTAATAAAAATGTTGATACTACAATAATGATATTCCAGTTACGTAGTTAATGAAGTACAATTAAACTTTGTTTTCCTCTCCTCAATAAACAAACATGTATTTTTCTTATTCTATATAAAAAATATTCTCAAGTAAAGATATTTTCACGGATATATCTATTTCCGTCAGCAACCCGTACTTCCGGAAGTCATTCACCTGTAATTGCATCAGTGCCAAATAGTACAGTTCCTGCTGAAGATTGTATGTTTCTTTTAAAATTATTTGCAGAAGAAATTGTCACATACAGTGTAAAAGACTTTTAGTTTTCTATACAATAAATGTTTTAAGTATAGATTAATTTTACATATAATAATTATATATATGTAAAGGGTGTTTTTTTTAGAGATATACAACTTTAAGTTGCCAATACTTTTTTAACTGGCAGTTATTTTGATAGCTATCCAGTGATTTGTGTTTAATTTGGTTTGGCAATTCATCATGAATAGACTTATGCCTGAACAACGCCTCCAAATTGTGCAAAATTTATTTTGAAAATCATGGCTCTGTTCGAGAAACGTATCGCTCACTCCGTCCATTTTAAGGTGCACATAATCGTCCATCAAAATAATTAATTTAATTAACAATGGATCGTTTACTTTAAATGGTAATACGCATCCACAGAGATGGCCTACAGTGCGTACAGAAGAAGTTATTTCTGCTGTAGAGCGTAGCGTAGAAGAAGACGCGAATCAGTCTATCCGCCGAATAATTGGTCCGTACTTCTATAGAAACGATGACGGCCAGAACGTTACAGTAAATGGTGACTGCTACAGAGCGATGATTAGGGGCTATTTCGTTCATCAATTAAACAACCATAATGTTCAGGAGTCCTGGTTTCAACAAGACGTTGAAACATGTCATACAGCTCGTGCCACAATTGATTTATTAAGAGAAACATTTGGTAACCGCATAATTTCATTTTTCGGACCCGTGAATTGGCCCCCAAGATCATGCGATTTAACGCCGGTTGATTATTTTCTGTGGGGATATGTAAAGTCGTCAGTCTACGCTGACAAGCCCGAAGCCAATGATCACTTGGAGGATAACATTCGTCGCTCTATTGCCGATATACAGTCACGAATTTTGGAAAAAGTCGTTGAAAATTGGACCTCCAGATTAAACTACGTACGAGCCAGTCGTGGAGGTCATATGCCTGAAATCTTATTTTAATTATAATGAAAGAATATTATCTTTTCAAAATATTATATTTCATATCAATAAAAGAAATCGTTTTTGTTTTATTTTATTTCAAAGTTCTATACCTCAAGAAAAAACACCCGTTATATAAGACGTTTAAAAAGAAACTATGTTTTTTTTCTGACACTCTCATCTCGTCTGCTGAGATCACGTTTGCTGTGGAGTAACTGAAACGTCGGGTAAAATGTAAAATAAACAAAATGAAAATTGCGCGAAGTATATTAAAAAGACATGGTTTAATCTTAAATAAATATAAGACATGTGACATTTTTCTTTATGTGAACATTCTTTGGTGTGAACTTAAATTTCAAAGTTAATCGTAATATGTATGAGATATACAACTCTAGTTACGGAAAAGAATATACATACTTATATAATAAAATGAAATTAGCGTTATCTGCTTTGTAAAATTTTAAGAAATATTTATAAATAACTTTTTTATATATTGCTGTTTAAGAGAGGTAACTTGTCCGACATTTAATCTTAATGAAATAAAGCTTGAATATGTCTTTCAATGAATTAATGAACGTGCTTGTCTCATAAATTTTCTCGAAAATTGTGATCAAATGAGATTGAGTAAAAATAAATATATATATTACACATGTAAAGGTTTGTAATAATATGTCTGGAAGGTAAAGAAGAAAGAAACTTAGCTCAAGTGAATAGTTTTCAGAGTTACATAATAGAAATTTTAAAAACATTAAATTAATTTCAATTCAAAATAATAATACCAGACTATGAACAATTGAAATAATGCGAATGCTCTTAGGATTCTATAAATATATATTAATACTTCAATTTGAATCTGTAATCAATGTAATTTTAATAACACATACATGAAATTGCAAATATTGAAGCAGGTACGTTTTAAAATAAACTGTGAGTCGATAATAGGAACAGCAGAAACTATTTATATTCTTTCAAACAAACCCATTTCGTTGAAAGATAAAAATAAATACTTCATTTAAAAATATAAGACTTCAACCGTATTTTTTCGTCCTCATTAATTTCTTTCTATTTTCTCTTATTATAAAGAAACTTTCTTACTGACATAACGTTTTAGTTTCAACTCTCCTGAAGAATATTTTGTTGCACATAAGTCTTTGATTTTGTTTTTATAATGAACTTAGACATTTAAATTATTATTTATTTCACATCAATCTTTGTCAATCTTTCTATTAACATTCATTGAATAACATGTTATTGTACAAAAATTCTTGGTAAAATATATTTGTTTGTGTGTAACGTGGAATGTAAAACTCAAGCCAAAAAAAGGTTGGCATACGTTTAACTTGCTTTTCAAAAGTTAAAAGTAAACCTACGTTGAAGCAGTTTTCAATATTGAAGATCTGTCTTAAGACGTCTTTGTTATTAAAAATTAAAGGTTAAAATTAAGGGATGGCTATGAAATATAAACAATAGGAAGATTTTTTGTTTGTATGTGCATATCGAAAAAAGATTTATGTATGTATATCCTATTCTTTTATAAATGGGAAACTCTGTTAGTATGTGTGGATGTTTGGTCCTATGTCACGAAAAACTTAAAAGACATCAAAAAAAAATAAATGAAAAACTTAATAGAAATATCGTAAGTGATGATTTATCCCAAAATGTATGCTAGTTGTTCACCATATCTACTGTTTTATCACACTAATACATTTTCCTCTGAACTTAATTCTGACGTCTCCGAAGATAATTGCAGGCAAAAACTATTAGTAAATAAACAAATAAAAACTTATCTACACACATACATAGTTTATATGCATGTGTGGAATGAAATGTTGGCATTCATAGTAGTTCTTATAAAGCAATATTACAATTGAGTTATTTTATAGCAACTATTCAGAATTTACTGTGTTTCAATTGATTGAAATTATATATGTATTTTAAAATATGTATCCCTATAAAACCATAACATATGTGTTCTCGTGAAATCAATTCTACATGGACAAGAAGAAGGGAACTTAAAAGTTTATGTTCTATTGTAGAGCTTTTAATGGGTTATTTATATTTAAAAAAAATAATTAAAGATATTATTGCCAGTGCTCGTAATAACTTTATAAAAGTTTTGATGAAAGAATTTCATCCTATTCAACATTTCTAGGTTGAACTTCTGATTGGTTCATTTTGGTATTGTAATTAGATATAATAGTGCAAGGGAACATAAAAATATTATATGTTTATGAATGAAAAATGTAGTAGTTTGGATTCTTGCGTAATATGCTTTTAATATTCAAAAGAAATGACAGTGTTATATTAATGAAGACGAGTTTTTCTATTTTTTTTTTTCAAACCCGATTACCTGGTTTTGTTTTTTTTCTATTTTTGTGATAGTTATCTGAAGCATAATGAAATATGACAAACATATTTTTCATCTACCTTACGTTTGTAATATTATAAAATGACATAACAATAATACTGGAATCATTAGTCATTTGAGTGCATGTACATATAACTTATTTGGAATATCTGTTTGTTATTTCCAATAAACTATAGTTTTTCATACTTAGTGATACTTGCGTGATACTAAATTTGAAACCTGTTTTGTTATTTCTACTCTGCTAGTCGACGGCGAATAATTGTAAAAGTTGGTGTACCAATTTTAGTGAAACTGTACAATACAAGAGTTTATAGGGTAAATATCGTAGATAATTTATTATAACAAAAGGAACCTGATTAAAGTCTAATACTATAAATCTTAGAAAGGCAAATCCTTTACAATAAATTTTAGGCAACTTATCAGAAGAAAGACTTATGATATAATTGTCTTCAGGCTTTATCAAGTCCGTGTGGGGCTTCGCGTGTCACCAAAAGTTCCCGTTCACATTGAGGCAACGGTATCCAGTGGCAATGGCGCCGCTAGGACTGGCAGGCCAGCCGCCAACGCGTCGCTTATCGGAGGCCTGGCTGCCTCCAGGGCTTTCCAGATTATGTATAGAAACGAGGAGATCACTTTAAGGGACATAGTACACTTTAGAGCCCATCTTTTAGGTGAGTTTATTCATTACAAGACATAATAAATTAAAAGTTCTTATTTGGTGACTACTATTTAATTTTGCAATCAAAATTCGCTCCGAAATGCGTTTTTATACCTTCGAAGCTTTAATACAATTTACTACTAAGGTTATATTTGTCGTCTATTATAAGTTATGTTCCCAATCTGGCAATAAACTAAACAAACATTGAATTTAAAGACCAATTTTATTATTTGGTTTAGTGCATACTATACGTCAGAAATTGTCACTATTGCTACTAGCCCTGAGAGCGGTGTACTCTAACATGTTCAGTCATTTACACCCTAGTCTCTTAATGGTAGACGTTACAAAAGCAAGTTTGTGGCTAGGAAGCACTTTCGAAAGAGATAAACCAGGACAAGTTATAGCAACACTGGCGTCCCGCCAAACAGGCTGACCCAATATCCAGTAAATGTCCTAATTTCTAAAAACAAAGAATCCATTATACGTGGATTGCCATTCATTTAATCGTTTGGTTTTTCAGTCCCATCCCCAATTTTGGTTATCACATTTACCTAATTTTCCAGGGATATATATTATTTTGTATTCTTTACATTAATAAGTTTATCTAATCTACCAGTTGATAGCCGCAACCTTAAAGAGTCCTTGGAAAGGGCGGAATGGAGTCTTGGTGTGGAACTCTGGTGCAGCGAGGGTGCCCAGTCTAGTACTTTGACTCCTGTCTCCTGCCGCGTGTTAAAGCTGCACTTTCAGCCTTCCCAGGGCTTGCACTACCATCTGCCTGTGCTGTTTGACTACTTCCATCTCTCCGCAGTATCCGTCACCATCCACGCTAGCTTGGTTGCCTTACATCAGCCGTATATCAAGTAAGTTACAACAGATTTTGAACAAACTAGAAAACAGTTTGAGTGGATGGCTGAAAACATTACGGATTTACAAACCTTTGAAAGCACTGTATGATAATAATTTGTGCTAGTTAATAATCAGAAAATAATGTATATAATAATCTCAATGATCATCATGCATAAAACGAAAAAAACCTCATACACGTGTGAATACAAAGAAATATGACAAACAAGAAGCTCAAGTTCCAGGGACAATGCTAAGTGGATATACAATAACTACCTTACCTTCAAGTTCTTTTGACATATATTTCCACACACCCAGTTAAAACAAAATTCGTTTGTTACATGTCTTTATTTAGGAAGAGCATCATGCATTATGTCCAAAGCTGGTAAGTATTAGTTGTAGCTTAGCTAGATCATACTTTAGATGTAACGTAATAATAATAATATATAATCAATTTAGTCTCTTATCTTTCTCCAACTCGTCTACGAAAAGGTAATTCTTTTCGTTTTTGTAAAATTTTTCATCAATGAATGACTAACTTGATTTTTTTCATTTTAAATGCATCTTTTTGTTACAAAATATTACCATCGACTAAACACTACCTGCTAGGATAGTTATAGATTGATAATGACATAAGATATTTTCTCAAATATTTCTTAGATACATTATCTTTAATTTTTTAATCATTAAAGTAATGACATAAATCAATGAATTACAATCTCATCAATCAATTTGATAAAGTTGTTGGTCATGTCATGTAAGCCTTATTAGTACGACTTATATAACGTATTTTTTATTTCTCTACAACTCAATTTAAGCATGACAAATTATCTTATAAAGTACATAACAGTTGGGAAAGTAGTGCCTTTTACTATACCATAATTAAGTACTATAGGATTTAGGTCTAGATATGCATGGAGGTCAAAATTTTATTTCAAGCTGTTATAGAACAAGCTATTGTCCTACTTCCAGCACGCCTCGCTCTAGCAAACAGTGGGGTAAACTGATGAAGAGTGCAGGTTCAAACTTCAATGCTACTGGCAGCTTGGAGAACATTCTATTTGGATCGAGTGGAAAATGCGCTGGAGGAAATTCAAGCAAAATAGCTCATGCCAGGTATTGTTTTAAATAATCTAGTAGTATAGTAGGTACATGGTTTTGACATTAACGTCCTCAAATTAATTATGAATATTTACATATATATTTTAACATTATTAAACCTTAATCTACTGGATAGTTTTATCTGATCTGTCAAATGCAACAAAGTAGAACGATTGATAATCTTGACCATTAATAATCTTGAGTTTAAAATGTGAATGAACCTATCGTTTGTGTAGTTATTGATATTTTTTTACAGACAAGTTCATGCTGAAGTTTGCGGTATATTATTGGGTTCATTGGAAGGGCTTCAGAGTGCATTAACTGTGTGCGGTTCAACGGGTGTGTTGTTGACTCCTGAAGAGTCTGCTTCCAACTCCGTGGTCGGTGAAGTGGCACAGCGGATAAAAGACTTGAGTGATTTGGGCAAAGTAAGTGGTCTGGATTGGATAATTAGGTTTTTTGATTTCTCTTAAACTTTCCAATTTGTTTGATAAACATGACAGCAGTTTAAATAGCGTTATTAATGTTTTTCTTTACATTATTTAAATAAGCTCAGTTTAGACTCGATACTTTTTTTTCGTTGTTATTTGAAATATAAATTTTATATAATTTTAAATAAAATTTAAATTATTTTTATTTAATTCTTGTGCCCTCTTACAAGTGTGAGAAAATCTAGGCCTTACAAAAACATACATGCATTTGTGTTAAATCAAAAAAATCGATGAAATATTAAGCACAAAAACAAAATAGACTTAGAGATACTTTTTGATGTGGCTAATGTTTAGTTTATGAATACATTTCTTTCATATTGAATATGACCAAACAAAAAATATGTATATATAATAATATTACTGTTTTTATTTGAAGAAATCCGAAGCTGGGGAAGAAGAGGAGTGGGCAATGGGAGCTGCTCACGACATTGCTCGACTCTGCGCAGAAGTAACACTACGGTGGCGTGCTTTTCTTCATCACACCTCAGATAGGCCACACGTTCATCACGCGCTTGCAGCCAGACATCATGCATTACGGTCTGTTATGACAGTTTATACAAAATATCTAGACCATAAAATAGCAACTATTTACATAAAATAGATGCTAAGTATGTGAAAGCTTTGAGAATCACTTGAAAAGAAAAGAAGTAGAGTTCCTTCTTCTAAATGTTGAAATGATTTAGTCTAACCTTTTTCTTATTATCTCTAGCATCAAACGCTTCTCCGAATGTTTCTTCGTGTTGGACAACCCTCGTCATTCCCTTGCTGGATGTTACGACAGTAACTACCAGTCTTATCAGAGCGTGGGTGAGACGGCTCGGCGTTCGCGTTACTTGGCGCTTCTACCACCCCTACCAGTACATTGCATTGCTTTGGATGGCGATCCACATATAATGCCTATTATATTTGAGGATAGGTAACTGAAAAAAATATTTGTTTTTACTGAAATATTATTTTTTAATCTATAAATATGAAAATAGACTTCAATTCCTTAATAGCATTTGAACGTAAAGAAATACTTTAGATATTTCTTTTACAGATACCAGGACACAGCCGAGTTTGCAAGACGGCGATCGTTTTTAAATTCTAACGCCAATAAAGCTGGAAGTGGTAAATATTTTTCACATAATTATTCTATCTCGTTATCTCTTTTGCTAATTCTGAAACGTTTCAGATCCGTTCCTATGTTCGGACCCTGCCGGAGAAGACTGTGCTTGCAGTGTTAGTTCCATAATGGACTCTAGGAGACCATCATCAGAAGCTTCTCGCGTGACTTTATCATTGCCAAAAAATATAATAGATGTCCTCGAACCACATTTTGATAACCAAAAAGCACCTTCAGGTGTAGTACAAGCCACTTTAACATTAGCGCCTCAAAAATCAGCCAGAGGATCCCCAAAGCGAACACTTGTAAAACAACACGTCGTAGAGATGACAAAACCCCATAATAAGCAATTAGAACTTACGGGAAGAAATAGATATATTGTACAAAACAATCAAATTAGCGAAATCCAACTTCCCCCTAATAATGTATTTGCTTCATGTCCTATCCAGCAAGGACAACAAATGTCCAGATACTCAGCCTCAACGCTATTAGACATAAACTCCGCTAAGAGTACAACAAATGTTTCACATGTAGGTAAGGAAAAATCTGATCGTGATGAAGTTTTTAACCAAAAGCATGACATTACAAGTGGCGTAAGTACATTACCAGCAAGACATAGTAAATCTTTAGATCAGTTAAGAGTATCACAAATGGCGCCTCTAAGTGTACAAACATTATCCAAAAATGTGAAAAATAGCTCAAACAACTCCGTAAATTATCACAAATCATACGCCCCGCCTCAACAACAAGTAAAACCAACTACTCTTCCTAGAAGTATTACAACCACATCTTATCCTACCAGTACAACGACAAGATGTGGATCGAAAGGTGATGAATATAGACGTAATATAAACGAATTTAGAGAAAAATATAAAAATCCAGGTAATTCTGTTAATTTTCATGGTATGAATAATGAAGTATTTCATTCTGTAGGACATAAGTACGATGGGACAATGAAAGGAGGTAGTAATCAAATTTATGGTTACACTTTCGGTAATCAGGGTAATATGACAGTGAATAATAATATTCGTAATCCTTTAGAGTTTCAAAGAGGCTACAGTGTAAATTTACCCCGTCCTATGTTGCCTCCTCGTAATTCTTATCCACCTGTTAGTGGAAAAAACCAAGTGACTGAACAGAGCAATCTAGTTTCTAACAAACATGTTCATAGATCGAACTCAACACATGTTTTTAACCAAAGCGTAGAAAAACAACACATGGACATTGAGGCCGCACGAAATCAATTAAGACACGAATTAAATTATTACCTTCAAAAAGGGGACTGGAGCTATGACTTTAACACAGGGAGTCTTATTCAAAATTATCAAAAGAAATCGAGTAAAAGTAGTGACGATAGCGGTTTCGTTATGACTTTAGACCGGAGTAGCGATGGAACATCAAAATCAACGTATTCAAAAACTCCTCCATCGACTCCTCATTCCACTTTACCATCTGTACGACATAAAAAGAGTCGTTCTAAAGATTCTAAGTTAAACCTTAATGGAACTGAAATTACAAAAATGAATTCAAGTCGTGATTCACTGAGTAGCCATCACTCTGTCAAGTCCAGAGACAGCAAATCCGATCGACATACGCCAAAATCAGATAGAAGTACTCCAAAATCTGAAAAAGAGACACCTAAATCAGGTAAGGCTACTCCCAAATCAGGAGTAGTAACTCCGAGATCTGGCTTGGCTACACCGAAATCAGGTGGAACTACACCCAAGAGTGGTAGATCAAGCGGTAAACCAGAAAAACGAGGAAAACATAAAGCTTCCGAGAAAATGACTCAACTAATGTCAGAGGCAGCTTCGTCGTCTAGTGATGAAAGCATACCTTTTGAATTGAGGCGCTTAGAATCTTCATCCAGTGTACCTTATAGTTTAGATCACGGCACTGAACTACGACATTGTCGAAGCGCTGTATCAATAATAGAGGAAGCCAATCTTCACAACAACTTTGGATCAGAGTCTTTACCAAATTTAGCTCCACCACCAGCATTTGAGTCACCTCCTCTAGATATAACTGATAAAGATTTTAAAATATTACCACCAGATAATTTTCTTAACAAAGAAGAAAAACACAGTAGCTCAACATCAAGTCTAAGCGAACAAAGTGGTTGGGTTTCTAGTGGACGTAGTTCAGGCCCTTCTTCACCGGATAATGGGAGTTGTCAATTAAGTCAAAATTTTCCACCCACTAAACCCACAACAATGTCAAAAGCTAGTGGCAAGAAAGAGGATGAAGCTACTGAAACTCGGAAAAAAGATGGAGATAAAATTTGCGACTTTAAAAGAACTGTTTTAAATGGAGAACAACTGCGGGAACGACTTCTTAAATTGGCAATAAAAGCAGCTCAAAGTAGTTCAACTGAAAAAATTGAGTGTTGTGATAAAGAAGTATGCGAAGAATGTACGATATGTAGTGATTCTATATGCACAGACAGTCAGTGTGAATATAATAAAATGATGCATTCTAACGGAATTGATGCAGGATGTAATTCCGATACATGTACAGCCAGTTGCTTTCAACAGTATCCTGAAACCAAGGTTAATAAAGTTAATCAAAGACATAATTCATTCAGTGCAATTCAGGGCAAGACTTATAGCACTGTAAGTAGAAACTCTAGTGAGGCTACAGTGAAAAAATCACAAACAGTTAGTGATAACTTACACCCATATATAAGAAAAGAAATATCTTCAAAAACACAACCTCCAACTACACAATCAGGGGTTCAAGACAAACAGACAGATAAAAAGTCCAGCACTTTAGATAAAACTAAATTAAAAGATAGAATACAATACACAGAAAAGTTAATAGCTGCAGAAATTTTGAGTTTAACCGTTGACAGATCTTGTAAACCTAGTGGTGCTGTGAGTGCTGCAAAAAAATACCAGGGTAAAGCAAAATCTGAAGTCGATTTGAGTCACTTTGGAACAAACGTTTACGAACATTTACCACCACCGCAACAATTTAGAGATGCTCCACCACCACCTGAACAATTTAAGGTAAACTAATTGCTATACATTTTCGTTTTAACACTTATTTTTTAACAGAATAATAATAAATATAACTTTATTTTATATACATTAGGACCCACCATCTAAGTCTCCAATGTTGAGCCGTCAAAGTAGTAAATCTTCAACACCTTCGAAAAGTCAACGAAAAGCATCTCAGCCTACTACGTTGCAGCTAGACAATCCACTATATCACGTGTGTGAAGGTACACCAAAAATATATATTCATATTCTTAATAATTACTCATGCTTCTGCTTAAAATACTAACACTGTTATTGGTCTCCAATTAGGAATATTGGAAAGACGAAAGTTAAGGCCAAACCAATCAATGACTTACAATACTACACCCTCATCTAGTACACTAAACAAAAGCCAGAGCACAGGCGAATTAGCAAGCAGAAACGAAGTTAATAAGGGTAGGTTGCAGACAAGCTTACTAATACAGCATAAAAATCAAGTCACACCATATTTATAATAATAATTTAAAATCTTTAATTTTGCTTTCAGAACAACGCCAAAGCAACCTTATCAGTATTTTTGGATTGGCTGAATCTGAGAGACTATTTGTAAAATGCAGGGAAGAGTTTAGACAAAGCGTTAAATACCCAGGAGCAATATATTCAGATTTTCCACCTGTCGAAAATTCCTTGCCGTATTTCCATATAAGCGACGAATACAGAATGTTTAATCCAGAAGGTATTGTTTTCTGATTACTACAAAATATCATATGAAATTTATAACACCTCTTGCTCTTTTCAGGAGAATTTCAGATAAAATGTAAATTATGATAATATGTAAAACGCTTGCTCTTTTCAGGATTGCATCTCATTATATGTGTCCACGGCTTAGATGGCAATGCAGCCGATCTACGTTTAGTTAAAACATATTTGGAGTTAGGACTCCCGGGAGCTCGTCTAGACTTTCTTATGTCTGAGAGGAATCAAGGTGATACATTTTCTGACTTTGACACAATGACGGACAGGTAATTATATTACTTTATTATCCCTATATTTAAAGGAGTTTCAAAAATATTAAGAATTTATTTTTATTTTCAGACTCATTCAGGAGATCATGACACACATACAAAGCTCAAACGAGCCTGCGAGAATTAGTTTTGTCGGTCATTCATTAGGTACCATCATCATTAGGTCTGCTTTAGCAAGACCACAAATGAAACCATTTTTGGGCAAGCTGCATACCTTTTTATCTCTAAGCGGGCCGCATTTGGGAACTCTATACAACTCTAGTGGACTTGTGAATGCAGGTATATAAAAAGAATATTCTTGATGGATTTCTAATTAAGATTTACGGTAACTATAAATATATTGAACTTTTTCAGGAATGTGGTTTATGCAGAAATGGAAAAAGTCCGGATCTTTACTGCAGTTATCACTTCGTGATGCCTCTGATCCCCGAAAATCGTTTCTGTACCGTCTAAGCGAACGAAGTCAATTGCACCAATTCAAACATATCTTACTTTGTGGTTCAGGTCAAGATAGATATGTACCGTTACATTCAGCGAGACTGGAGCTGTGCAAAGCTGCTGCCAAAGACACTTCTTTATTGGGACAAGCTTATAGAGAAATGGTATATCAGAATTTTTTATTTTATAACCATATATCAGAAGAAGCAGTATTCAAATATATTGACTGTCACTTAAAGTTATTATCTTAAAAATTATGTACATTAAACATATATTTCTAAAAGTAGGTATAGAGATATTAAGACTTTGTCAACAAAGACTATGTTCAAACCAGTAAATAGTTTCAACTTTGCATACGTATAAAGGACCAATGACAATGCATTTGACTACATTTCATATCTTTGTTTTCATAGATACGAGTAGTTGCCACTACAGTGATTGTAACATTCAATATCAAGCACTCCCCTCTTTTTACTCGGATTTAAAATAAATTCTTTGTGATTGAAAATTATTTTGTACTAGCTGCGCCCCGCGGTGTTACCCGCGGATTTCCGGGATGTAAAGTAGCCTATGTGTTATTCCTGGACGTCAGCTTCCTGTATTAAATTTTATCAAAATCGGTTCAGCCGTTTGGGCGTGAAGAAGTAACAAACATACACACACACTCACAAACTTTCGCAATTATAATATTAGTAGGATTTTTTAATACGGTCAGCTTTGAAAACGTGTTTTTTATTCAGACCAGAAATCTTTTCGTTCAAAATGAATCAATATCTTTTTCAGGTCCACAATATGGTGTCGCCTCTTGCTGCTCGTGCTTCCTCAGTGTCTGTCGTTCGTTATGATGTTCAGCACGCGTTGCCGCACACAGCCAGCGCCCTCGTCGGCCGTGCGGCACATATTGCAGCACTAGACTCCGACCTATTCATTGAGAAGTTCTTATTGGTCTCCGCGCTTAAATACTTCCGTTGATACCACTTTGCTCGTAATGCAACACTTCAAATTGAAAATGAAGATTTATTCAAATTAAGCTTGGGTGTATTGTTTAATGTTGCCATACATATTACGTATTTAATTCGCTTTGTTTTAGGGAAATATAGTTTAGCGAAGCAATCACTTTGGCTGAACTGTTAAAACAGAAACATGATATTACGTGTTTTGAAATTAATACATATAAAACACGGCAGCTAAATAGTTTTTACTGGATTTTTTTTCGTCAAGCTTAAAAATTGAGTCTTGAGCATTTTCCAATGATTGGTTCCTTTTACTTCTCAATTAAAATTTTCAATCTCTATGAATAGTAATAAATTTAATTGAATGCTATAGCTTATTATAAAATCCATTTGAACCGATTTATTAGACGTTATATAGTTTTAAAACCTCAAACTTTTTAAGTTTATTTTATTACCATTCCTTAAAGCTAAAACTAGTCTAAAGAAGGTGAGATTGCTTTCTATTGGATTTTATAAGTCTAAAAAATACAGAGTTTTTATTTTTGAAATAAAAACTCTGGTATTGCGTAAAATGTTTGCACACTTCTAATTTTGCTGGCATTAATTTTTTTTTTCAGTTACAACGAGAAAACTAAAATTACACACAACTATCATATCTTTTGGGACTTTTAATATTTTTAGCTTTCCTCACATATATAAAATATTTGCACGCGATATTCTTAAACATATAATCATTACAGCGATATCGAATTGATCTATGTTATAAAGCGCTTATTAATGAAATTACTTGGTAACGTGTGATATAAGAGTCCCGGCTGTCACAGCATTTTATTACGATACAGAATTTAATCATCAATTTTGAATTACTCATAGGTTTAAGATGGATCTTTACACCAATTAATTAAGACTTTCGAATTAGCAAGTGTAGATAATGTAGATGTTATTCGTATTAGTAATTTATTGATCGTTGTGTAATAAGTCTTATGAATATCGGCTTCTGGAATGCTAAGCCCGTGACTATTGGTTTTGCAATTGTTGATCGTTTTTTCATGAGTTTTTAAACTATTTCTATGTAGTCATTAGGTATACAGGTTTAATATCTACAATAGATTTTCTTTGATCATATTTCAATATATTATACGATATTAGCGTCTAACTACATGATATGTGAAAAATCTTTATTCCTCCTACTCAACAAGCAACGTAACCTCATATCAATATGTTGAAACACCAAAGGAATTTTAAGTAACAATAATTAAAGTAATAAAAATCTTTATTTTACTGTTGGAAATAGTAACAAGTTATTATACTGTCATAGTTTATATATCAATAGCAGTAACATAGAATTTAATAGTTATAAACATTTCATATATGTATATTATAATCGATAATATTTTAATCGATATGTATAAATCAATTTTATTCGTCAGTTTCTCAAACCCTATTCTATATTAATCCTGATAAACAGATTATAAATACAGATTTTCGTCTCTTTTAAGCACAAGCAACAAACAGAGGACTTGTAGGTTGTTTTTTGAAAAAAACAATACCATTTTTTGAATTTTTTACGCACTTTTATATTATTTTTTTCTTTATTACTAAGCTATGTTTATTGAATTGTTACATAAGCAAACGCATTCAAGAGGGCCTTATTACGTATAAGGACAGGCTCTGGCCTTAAATCAAATAATGGATTTAGATTAAATATGTAAATTTAAAACGAATGTTAGACTGATCTTTAAAAATATATTGTATCGGTAAGTTTAATAGGTTATAATTTTGTTTTTGATTTGTAGATATTCTTTATTTGATGAAGTTGTTATCTTGCTCTGTCCACTTTGTCTATATTTTTTAAATTGTAGGTAACGTTTTATACAGGGGCTTAGGAATTCTAGTCTTTATTTAAATAAAAATTTTAGATCAGTACAACAACGTGCTCAAAAATATCGAAAATTTTACAGAGGCTTATGTTAAATTTAACGTTTTTTTATCATCAACTGTCAAATGGTTGTTTTCATTGTTATTTTTGAACATGTTGTTATCTAACGTGAAATAGAGTAATATATCAATATTGCCCGTGAGCATGCTTTTAAATATAATATGAATTAATGTAGTAGATGTAACAGAATCATTAAAAGAATTGTAAATAGAAAATCTAAATTTTATTTGTAAAATAAATTCGTATGTTAAATGTCGATGTTATACACATAAGAACAAATAAATATGCCTGAAAACTTAATCTTGTTTTAATTTGTCAAAGAACGCGATAGAAAAGTTTAAGATATCAAATTTAAAATGTTTTATAAAGCTTTGCACAATATTTTATACTCGTCCTTAAAATTAAAAAAAAAGTTTGAATATTATTCTTTCAGTCAATTAATACTTTATGAATTTCTATAATACTTAAGATTAATTTAGTTTTGTATATCAGGAAGAAGTAAATAAAAAGAATAGAAGTGTCATATGGCAATAATATTAGAAATTCTGAAATTCAATATTTTGACATAGAACATGTAAATATCGTACAGAAATGAAAACTTTTAGTTTTGTTCAAAATACTTTTACACTATACAGTTTTATTTGGTTTTAAACATGTAAGTCGCCATCTATTGACCCCACGATACACTAAATTTCCTTAAACGATGTTCGGTCGTGTAAGACAACGTTTTTTATTTTATATCTTCAACATATATTTTATTTTCCCTATACGATTTCACATAATAGTTAAGATTATATAAATAATATTTATTTTATGCCTGTAACGGAATATATAAATCAAAACTTAAATAAAAATGACGAATTAAACATAAAATATATGTTTCTGAACGTTAATTTATCGGGCGGGTGGTGGTCGTCAACTCGTCAGTCACTGTCAATTCAGTTGGTGGGGTATTATCAGTGGGGAACGGTTGTAGTGTTAAATAATTATTGTTTAATTAATTTAAATGATACTTTTTTAAATTGTTATGAATTAACTGTGAAGTTTCTTTTGATATTACATTCGTTATATTTAAAACAAATATTTTACAATACAAAAAAACTGGGCAATGCTATCGATGCTTTCCAGGAGTTATTTATAATATATAAAGTAAATTGTGATTTAAAACAAAACAAAATGGGTAAATTATTGAGTCTTCTGGCCCGTGACGAATCAAACTGTTGTTCATCACCACGTTACGATATATTCTTGGATTTCGAGAACGCTGCGCCCACAGACACGGAACGTAATGTTTACGAAGAGGTACAAAGAGTTTTAATAGATTCGGATAAGATTTTAGAAGAAATACAGTGTTACAAAGGAGCCGGGAAAGAAATAAGAGAAGCTATAGCTGACCCTTCGACTATAACTCAAGAAAGGGCTTGGCGCGCTGTTAAACCCCTGGTTGATAAATTGCTGCGATTTTATAGCCACTCATTGGAACTGCAACGGGTGAGTTATTACAACATTTAATATCCCAAATATGTATTAAAAAAATCTGTGTTATGAAAAAAATATTTTATATACCCTCATATTAAATTATGATAGATCATACATTTCCATTAAATTTTGTCATAAATATGTTGTGACTGCAATATAAAATAACATGGATTTAAAAATATACATATTTAAAAATTTACTTTATTTAGCTGTATAAGATAAAAACAAATAATTTCACAGCAGGATGGTTATTCGTTGTATTATCAAGAGGATGTTTATCCTTATCAGTTGTGATTAATGTAACAAGTAAAGATAACACTCTCCAAAGATACCAGCTATCATATATGTACCGCAAACTTCCTGAAGCCATATTATTTATTACAAAGATTTATATATATATAATTTACATTTCTATATGAATATAATATGAAGTATAATCTGATACTCAGATTTAATTCTTCTATCAAATAAATGTTACTGAATATATGTCTAGGACATTCGTTTAACTATGTGAGTGTACATATATGTCGGCTTACTTAAGCTTGCCACCCACTTATATCCTTTTCATTGGTCTTAGCAATTTGGTTTTGTGTTCAATATGATGCAGTATTTAAACGATATATGTGACAAAATAAATTATTAAGACTATATAAATATAATTGAATAATAATGATTCAACTTGATTACATTTTGCTTAGAAACATCTGAAGTTTTTTTTTTATATATGTACTTGATAATTTTATTAGAATATATCTTGTATGAATATTTTCTTAAATTAATTAATTCAATATAGTAAACAACTTGATATCCATAATATAATTAATACAGTGAATGTGTCATTGCTATAAGAGTGTTGAGTGTGTTGTTTCATGCTGAGCCTTATTACGTATACATATATTGTATAATTTCTGTGTTTTTAAATAAAACTGAACTAAAGATACAATATTTCACATAAAAATTATTAAGTAGTTCAATTTTAAATCATTTACTTATATAATGAATAGGTTTTTTTGAGTTATCCAACACAGATTTTTTAAATAATCTATTTGAACAAATTAATAAAATGCTGAAAGAATATTTCCCTTGTTTGCAGTTGTAAAAGTTAATAAACAGTATATGGTTATAAATACTATGTTATCCTGTGAAAGGCAAAAAGAACTATTTTGTTCGGAAATATATATTTTGTTTTAGCAAATTATAGGATGTAAATAGAATTGCCTTCAAAATTAAAATGACAAGAACAAATAGGCTGGTCATTTTGACCCTTGTATATATTTAAACTATTTAAATGAATCCCTACTAATATTATAAATGCGAAAGTAACTCTGTCTGTCTGTCTGTCTGTCTGTCTGCTACGCTTTCACGCCTAAACCACTGAACTGATTTTAATGAAATTCGGTACAGAGATAGAGTTGACCTTGAGAAAGAACATAGGATAGTTTTTATCCCAGACTTTTGAAAGGTTCTCTTGGAAACGCGATATAACCGAACTCCACGCGGCGGGGCTGCGGGCGGAAAGCTAGTTAGTCCATAAAATTAGTAAGTGTTGCCAAACTGGTTATATTATTATATTACAAAACAAAAATGCTAATAATTAGTTTCACACATAAATTCAACTAAAGTTTAATTGAGACATGAATTTTTATATAATGAAAATTAGTCTAACACAAAAAGAAAAGTAACTCAAATGGAAAATTTTAAACGTAAATATGTAAAGCACTGCTATAATCATCTTCTATTACATACAATGAACCGTGAATCACTGACAACAAACAATAAAACCACAAGCCTTTAGAGTTGTGTGAATTTAACTGACAATATTTATATGTATTGGTTAAAAAATACTTTAACTGCAATAAAATGTTGCACTCGTGACTCGATCTACGCCCGCAGTAACGGTCGCAATGCAGATAGATACAAAAATATTAATGCTATCTAACAATACAATAATAATTATATACACAAAAATTACTTTTATATCACAGAAAGTAACGTCAACAAAAAAAATTCGTTATTATGCCCGATTATTTTGATGTAATAATATTTTTTTGTCGTCGGTATGTCCGATTTAGTTCACATGTGAGATATTTTTATTACAAACGTAATTGCCAGCGGTATTGGCCGTGACAATCATTCAATCGAGCGAACAGTCACAGCTCGTGAGAATATCATTTATAAATGACGTACTATGTATCCTTTGGGGACGGTGAGGACGTTGGCTTTGTTTTGTATATATATACAGGGTGACTGGTGAATTACTATCAATATTTAAGGAGAATACTCGGTACATGATTCTCATTCGATATATGTAAAAAAAATAGGTACTTAATTTTTGACCAAATTTCCGTATAAATAATTAAAGTGTGGACACGTTCCAAGTGTTCCAAGTGTGGACGCGTGCGGCGGCGTGCTGATACAACACTACGCCGCCGCACACTTATGTGTGTGTGAGTGTATACCTAATCTGTAGGGTGTGCGCACGATGCGTAATTAATTACATAACTTTTGGTTAACTTTACTTAGAAGTTTATTAATATTTATGTTATATTAATTTTTATTTTGTTATATATGATCGTCAAATATCACGTCCTCAAGTATCGATAGTATTTCACCAGTCACCCTGTATATTGTACTAGCTTTCCACCTCCGGGTGGAAAGCTTCGCCCGCGTGGAGTTCGGTTATATATCGTTTCCAAGAGAACCTTTCAAAAGTCTGGAATAAAAACTATCCTATGTTCTTTCTCAAAGTCAACTCTATCTCTGTACCAAATTTCATTAAAATCAGTTCAGTGGTTTAGGCGTGAAAGCGTAACAGACAGACAAATAGACGGAGTTACTTTCGCATTTATAATATTAGTAGGGACGTAATATGTAGAGTTATACGTAATAATTCTTATCTAAACACTTTACTTGCACTTCCAATCCCTTGATATACTTCACTGGCTGTTCCATTCTTCAAGCGCTTATCGTAATCTTGAAATATGTCAATCTTAGTGTCAAGTTATACAAATTCAATATCTCGTACGTAAAATAATTATTTTCTAAACTTTATTCCTATGAACGTGGATTTATTGATTAATGATAAATCGAATATTCATGTATAGTAAATATTTACTTATATTAGTGAATTGTTAAACGTAAATGAGAAATAAATTTATTTTATAAGTATACATATAACATAACAACAGCAAATGATTTTAATGGGATAAAACTTACGTATTAGTTAAATTTGAACTAACGAATATGTTCCTTTTCTCGCACGAAACTTTAACATAGTGGAGCTCTATACTCAAAAGAAAATTTGCGAACCAAGTCGCAGATCAATGCGAGTTATATTTAAAAAAAAATGTCGACCTCCTTTGCGTTTTCCAAAAAAATCTATAAGGAACTTCATCCAAATTATTCTTTCATACACCCTGTGTAGGATTAATATCTAGTGTAAAATGCAAATAGAATTTAATGCCATCTACTTTCTTTATACATCAGTGCGATGTCTTTATTATACATTTAATGAACTTTTTAACTACCTAGAAATGGCTGTAGTAAAAATACTCAAATCACACTTCGCTGGAAGATGATTACGTCCTCATTCTCACCACACAATACCAATTTTGCTTTCTTTTCTCAATATTAATAAGAAAAGAGATAACATATCTAAAAACTTATTGTGAAATGGAAAATAAATAAAGAGGATCGACTTTTATCTCTCTATATATAAATATTTATATAAAATATATTATATGATAATGATTTTAATCAGAAAAAAATATATACGGTTTAGAAAAGAAAGACAAATTATATAAAATATATATTTTTTATTACATAATTGTTTGAAATAATACCATAACAAGTCACTCTAACAAGAAATGCACGTTTTACATGGGAAAAATATTCTTTCAATGAGTTAGCTATAACTATGACTAAGCATTTCGCTATTTCTATGATTGAGATAGCATTGTTAATAAACAAATCGCTGACTAAATAAATAAACAAAATATTCATATATCGTGATTTATGTAAACCTCCTTCGTTCCGTTCGGAAACAGCCATTGTAATTACGGTGAAAATGTTTTTGGACGGAATCCAACCGGCTACAACTTTGATAGCTCTTATCGTACCAAAATAGCACAGCCTATTTATTTATTTTTTTCTCTAGCTGCTCTAAATATAATAGGACTATCAAACCAATCTTATGCCATATAATTGATAAGATCTTAAGAAGATATGTTTTTAATTCTCGTCTTAAGAAAAGAATGTCACATTAAACTTTTATGTTTGTTTTTTATCAGTTCAGTTCAATAGATTTTGAATTCATCAGTAATTTTGTCAACAGCAAAAATCAACGTCAAAGTTGTCAAGGTTTAAGACGAGAGTTCCTATTTTAGAAAACACACACACACACATACATATATATAAATATATATGTATATACTCCCTTTAGACATAAATTATAACCTATTACACCATATGCCAAAGTTTGTGTGGGTTTTCATGTGTGATTATTTGAGTTTTTATGTATATAGGTATATTTGTATGAAATTTTATAACTGAAATTTTGAGTATAAGCTACTTCTCGTCATATAAATATTTGAGAAGCTTAGTATAAATTTTAAAGTGTAGTAGCAGACTTAATATATTGTTTATTTGAACGTCGTGTTCGCGAAACTCAATTCCCTATGTACATATCTTAAACACGAACAATCTGTATGTGAGTAAGTTCTTCGTATTGCTTGACAATAGTCTGTACGCATTCAATGCGCCTTATTTGGTTCAACCATTTACAGTTTATAAGTTATCTTTGATATACTATGTATTATATTATGTAGGTCCTTGAATATAAAATGGGCGTTTTGTCGTATTTTTCACTTTAAAATCTCCATTTCTTTAAGAATTTAATTGACAAAATTATGCAGCTATTAACTCGTGCCGTCTTCAAAAACAGTAATACATATGATTTTTCCATCTTCGGTATTTTTTTTACGTCACTTAGCGTATAAAACGAAAAACTTCAA